CGAAGTCATGGGCGGGCCTAGCTGATGCATGTAAAGCTAAGAAATTGAAAATTTAGAATTAGAAACGATCTCAATGCGCCTCGCAAAAGGGAAAATCTCAACTCACAGTCGAAAACAGGTCTTCGACACGGCTATACAACCGTAAACGCTGAATTCGGTCTGTTTCATTGGCGGCGCGGGAGCTCCTGGCGAAGCGGATGAGTTCGTCTGTAATCAGGATTCTCAGGTCGTGTATTTCTTCGAGCGAAAAGGTGTCGCGGGTGAACGCTGGGCTAAAATTGGAATAATCGGCGGGATGAGCCGAAGACCGCTTGTCGACTGAATCATAGTCGACTGGCGAACAAATGTTGCTGGAATCGTAATCAAACGACGAACGCTCGTCGATGGAATCAGAATCCGAGCAGGTACCAGTAATAGTAGCGTCGGTTGAGGCGATTGACATTGGCCTCGAGGAAGTCATGGCTAAAAGCTAAAATAGGAGTTGTTTTTGGGGGGAAAGCTCGATGGCTGCGATAGAAGACGGTGTGGATAGACGGTCTGGAGGAATGGCTAGGGGCGATGGGCTCTTCGCTGGACACCACCGCCGTCTTTTATGTCTGAAGAATCACTCGCTGGAAAGGTCGCCCAGCTGCTATCGGAGCTGCAACCAGGCAACCCAGAGGATAGGACTCATCCCGTTTCGTTTCGCCTTCGCCGAGGATTTTCTTTCATTTTCTCTCTTTTATCATTAACCAAAACCCCGACCTAGGTTTTAACGGCATTCCTCTACGCGCTGGTGGCATGATCGTTCGACCTAGGACTTTGTTTCCTTTCTTGAGGCTATGCCGTTCGATGTCGGCTTACACACAAATTTTAAATACCATCCGTTGCCGGTGCTCGATCCGGCTGGGTTGTTCATTCTTCTTTTCATTTAATCTTTCTCGATTCCGTGCGCGACCCGGACTTTTTCTTATCAATCCGTAATTCCATCTTTCTTGATGCCGGTGCGCGATCCGGGCGGTGTTTCATTTCCTTATCACCCTATTTTTCTTCGATACCGGTGCGCGGACCGGGCAGTGTTTAATTTTTCTTTTATCAGTGGATTTTTTTTCGATTCCTGTGTGCGACCCGAGCCGCGTCACGCCTTCTCTGTCATTAAACCCTTTCAACTCCGGTGTACGATTCGGGCCTCTTCGTCTCTTTTTTTCTCTCGATTCCGGTGCTCGATCCGGGCGGTGCTGTCTTAGTTTCTTTCTTTTCTTTTAATTTTCGATGCCGGTGCTCGATCCGGGCTATGTTTTATAGTTCTTTTCTTTTTTTAATATAGTTGACTCTGGTGTTCGACCCAGTTCCGATGCCTCTCTTTCATTCTATGACATCACTGCATCTTCGACATCGGTCTTTCGTCTTCGCCGAGGGTCGTGCTCTTTTTTTTTCTTTGCTTTCCTCCTTAAGTCTGTCCCTCTTGGGGACTGTTTTTCACCGGACACCTCCTCTTTGAGGCTTTTCCCTTTCTGGAATTCCTGGACCTATTTTCCTCAATTTGGCCAGTAATGAAATCAATTTTTTTTTTTCAAAAATCTATTTAATCAGCTCAACCTTCTTGGAAAATGGAGGGGGACCCATGGACCCATGAAGCCCCAGGAATTGTAGTACCACCAACCACAGCTCACCATCACCCCAGTACCCCACCATTCACCAATGACCTGAACTTCATTCCCCCACCTGGATTTTTGGTTCCTCTCACCATGGAGAAAATTCCTCCTCCTACCTGCCATTTTTTTTTTTTTGGTTACACTTCCCTTATATATAGATTAAAACCATTATTTTTTTAGAAGTAGTTCTTCCAACAAAACCCCTCCTTATTCTTACTCTTGTGTGTTACTTTCCTTAAAAACTTCTACAGGTTTTAGTATATCTATTAGTGCATCCCAGCCTTGAAATAATTAGTTTGAACCCCAGCTTTACTCAGATTTTTCAGTCAGATTGAATAAGAAGATATGTTACATAGTTTATTTTACTGGATATATTTAGTTTACTTTTTATTATAAACCTTCTTATTTCCCTGGACCTCTTTCTGGACCTTGGATTTTGGCTTCTTCCCACTTTGGCATCTCAGACTTTTCCTCTTTGGACATTGGACTCAGATTCTTTTGGACTTTGGAATTCAGATTTTTTTCTTTTATCAACCTTACCTGCCTTTCAACTCAGGTCTTACTCTTGGATTGGTCTTCTTGGATGGAACAGACACTCCTCCTGGAATTGGATCAACTTCAGCAGTCTTTACCTACTTTGGCCTTCTTGTTGGAACCAGATACTCCAGCTTGAAGATGATCAACTTAGGTCTTACTCTTGATATTGGCCTTCTTGGATGGAACAGATATTCCCCCTTGAAGTGGTTCAATTATCATTAGTCTTTTTTTCTCTTACTGGCCTTAGGACTGTTTTGGACTATTGGACTCAGTTTTTTCCCCTTTGGATTTTCTTTGGTCACCTGGCTTTGGCTTTCTTGGATGGAACTTCAACCTCAGGACTCTTGGACTTGGCCTCATTGAAAGGATAACAGAATTCCTCCATTGGGTGGCCCATTTTTTAAGAATTTTCTTTAGATACCTGGACATTGGCTTTCTTGGATTGGTTCAACCCTGGAATCTGGACTTGGCCTCTTGGAAGTGGTTCACTTTTGTTTTATTTGAATTTGGCCTCTTTGGATTGGAACAGATACTCCTTCCTTAGGGTGGTTCACTTTTGGATACTATGGACTTGGCCTTCTTGGAGTGGATCAATGTCTGGATTATATTTTGGCCTCTTGGATTGGATCAACTACAGTACTTTGGATTTGGCCCTTCTTTTTTTGGATACAGATTTCCTCCTTGGTCTTATTTTTGGATACAGGACTTGGCCTTCTTGGATGGATCAGATACTCCTCCTGGAAGTGGATCAACCCTGAACTCTGGATTTGGCTCCTGTTGGATGGACCCCTTTCTGGATTCCCTTGTTTCTCTTACTAGTTACTTTTTCTTTATATTCTTTTAGTCTTCTATCTTCATACTGGCTGCATTGTCTGGGGACAGACAATAAGTTGGGGGAGGATGTGGTAACCCATACCTTTCCATAGCATCTATTATTTTACTGTACATTCACTGGGAATTGTTATAATATTACTACAGAATCAGATTCTACACCCCTTTTTACCTATAGTCACTCACTCAAGTCATATCTCATTTCTTACTGGTTCATTAGTTAATTGCAGTTTTAGCTTTACAGATATTATTCTTTACATTTACATTACACATTAACTACATACAGTACATATTTACAGTTTATCACATACATCATATTTTTCTCAAGTGCTATCTTTTTACATATATCTCTTCACATTACATCAGCCACACTCCTTTACAAGTACTTCTTTTTCACATTACATACTACATATATTTTCTCAGACACACTCCTTACAACTATGCTTTCTCATATGCCTTCAGGATAACAGTAGTACACTCTTTCACAGTCTTATCTTTTGGGATTGTTTTCCTTACTCATCCTCCCTTTTGATTGTTTACTTTTCACATCTCTTGTTCTACATTTGTACATTTTGCTCCCATAGCCAGACTGACTGTAACCTGTGCTCATTTGTACCTTGAAGTATATATACAGTCTTCTTATCATTTTTTTGTACACCCCTTATGCAATTTCTCCCCTACAGATATTATTGTGCCCCTCAGATAAAATCTATTTTACTTTCAGAACTCAATTTAGTGACCTTGCCCTGTTTAGGTGCTTGCCCCAGAAATACCTTTACACTCAGTGTCCTCAGAGCTCTGCTTTATTTACCACCCTCATAGTCTCACTTCTTCCCCTGTAGGTTGATAAGGAACAATCTCATCAGTTATAGCAGTCTAAGAAATAGATAGAAATTAGCCACACCTCTTCTTATTTTTCTTAGTGTAACCCTCTCTCCTCAGCATTAGTCTCAGAGGGCAGCCTCATCAGCACTCATAGCTTAACTTACATTACTAGTAGTGTAGTTTGCTATTCCCCTCTAAAGCTCTGTTCTGGTTGTTCAGCAGTTCCACAACGGTCACAATCCTCAGTGATTGAATAGACCCATTCGAGTAGGGATCGGTTTTCGGCATCGTCAAGTATGCCTCGGAGGCCAAACATGCTTACTTCGGTCGCTGCAGTCATGATTCGATCGAAAACCTTCTCCTTGAAGAGTTGAAAGCACATATCCTCTTCATGGAGTGCAATTTCAAAAGCGGGGACATTGGGATTTACAACCTCATACCCTCTGTCCGGCGAGGAGGGTTCTGAGGGATGACGGTCAACAACTAACATATCATTGATCGCTATAGATAATCTAATATGGACTACGGTCTTCACTACAGGTATAGGAGTGAACTCGGTTGGATTGGACTCAAGCTTAATTTTCGGGATACTGGTGGCCATGTCGATGTTTGAAAATATGATGATTGTAACACTGGAGCAGAGGAATGAAGAGTAGGAGATGCAAGGCAATGAGGAGTTCCAACACTTGGAATTGTATTAGATCACCCTGAAAGTTAGAAATGGCAAGATTCAGGATTTCCAGCATCACACCCATGAGTTGAAAGGAACATGATTTGGGTTGCCCTGGATTTGTCGGAATAGATAATGGAAGATCTTGCATTCCACCTGTTTGTCACTTCAATCTACATCTTTTGGGTGGCAGACTGGCATGATCTGGAACGGTGATAGTATACTCGTTTGTCATGCAATCTAAATTATCAATTACAACAGTAAATTACACGATTGGTGTTGAAGGAATCTCCGGCGACCTGGCTGGAGTATCTTCAGCTTGCAGACCTGCATGATCAGGAACAGTAATCACTCCCCAATTCTCCAACCCGGCTTGACAGACATCGAGCCAGTGTTCTGGTGTTACCGGGTTTATCTGCAAGTCCGCCAATCGTCGATGGGCCTCGGGCGCATGCAAAGATGCCGAATTCAGGATAAAGCTGTTGTCCCCAATATGTGTGACTTCAGGCGTTTTGACAGTTGTATTCAATCTTTCGATTTTGGTGCTCCTTGTGTTGCCGACTTGACAGTTGGCCGAATGACAGTTATGCTGTAGATTTAATGTTGCCTTGATTGCCTGCAAAATCAAATTTAAATTGTTTTATCATTATCTTTGCTGGATGCACCATACAGCAAAAACAAACTCACATCCGATTGAACAGATCGAGTTTGGTTGGTCTTGTCAAATTGCCTCATCTCATAGAAGGGGTGAATTCTTGATCGGTCCAATTTGGTAAGATGAACAAAAAAACTTTCCCCAACGCGCCAGATGGAATTGACACGTCCAATGTACTCATGTTCATTCAGTGGTGATCCAACCTTAAGCATAACAATGATGCATAATATCAAAAATAGGACAAAATGATGTGGTGGGAGGGAAAAAACATGCGTACCAGAACAAAGCTTTTGTTTACTACAACCTCATGTGCATTTAATTGCAGTTGAGAAATCTGCCGGATTGGATCATTAGAAAAGTGCTCTTTGAGGGAATTTGGAATATCAACCACCTCTTTTTCACTCAATATTGACCGCTTTTGATATGGAAAATTGGTTATTGGATTGGAATTTTCAGAATTGTATCCAAACGACTTCTGAATGATAGGATTGTCACTGAAGAAACTGAGGATTTTTGGCGAACATTGGGAGATTGTCTTGGTGATTTTGTTGTACATGATCCCCCCTGACAAGAGAAAGCGCAAACACTGATAATTAGAAAAGCTGTTGGCAATATCTCGTCCGGGAGCTTGCTTGTTGGAGTGTGTAGATGCATTTCGAAGAACACCGTTGAAGGACTCGAATTTCTCAGTGGCAAAAAGGGGTGCGACACCAAATCGTTCGATGGATTCCGGAAGGTGAAATAGCATGTGAAATTTTGGTTTATTAATCCATTGAGCCGTGAATTTGATCAGATGTGACATGAAGATCTGAATATGTTGCTTCAACTCGTATAGATAGGATTCCATGTGGCTGATGTGTGTTTGGAAGATGTATGATGAGAGTCGACAAAGGGCAAGCCAGAGGGATCTCTCTTCTTGATCCATGAGGGGGAAGAAGATGAATGGCACAGCCTGAAGAAAAATTTTGAAATCTTTACCGACCAAAGATTTTGAATGATTTATGAGGTAAAATGGTTTAAGAAGAGGTATGTTCAATGAACTGGTATTGAAAGATTGCAATCGGCCAGTCAATTCCGCGAGTTTCTTCTTATTTTTACCTTTCTTGAGCCGCTGCATGAAATCCCTGATGAGATACTTCACAACACCAAGCAAGAATACATGCAAGATCTCAACTGGAGTATCTGTGCAGCCATTGAAGCCTGTTCCAATAAAAACAACCACAAACCAAAAGATAGTAAAAAAAATGAGCAATCAGGTAGCCTGGTAGGTCAACAACACAACCTATTAGAAAAGATTAAATACCTTGAAACTTGAAGAAAGGATTGAACATATCTGTTGGATCGGTTTAATAAGTTCACCGGCCTTCTTTGTCACAACTGGTGACTTGCTCCTGATCCCATCGATAAATTTATTGTTAATCGAATCGGTAACGCCATAGATAAGCCGCAAACGCTTCACTTCGGTGATGTTAACCGTGAGGTACGTGTTGAACAGGTTGTATGTGTTCTCGATGGTTTTTTCCCACTGGCGTGGCACGTTGGGAGAATGAAATCCATCGGAGTCCAGCTGCAAAAATTGTAGTAAATAGGATAGTGATCGTTTGTCTAGCTTTGATGGGGCGTGTAAATTGCACATTCGACAGGGATTCAGAGATGTCCCAGGGTTGGGGGTGGCGGTGATTTCGGCGTGCATAGGGGAATCGGCTAGGAAGAACAACATCATGCTCATTATCAAAACAGGCTGTGAAATGGAAGCGTCGTATCCATCAAATCCATCTAAAAGCATTTCACTGGGTGTGAGAAGAGCAGGAGAACATCAGTATAAATTGATCAATTTGGAACTCAATCAGAGGATTACACACTTGGATTCTTTCACAATTTGATTTGCAATTTCTAAAACCCCTGCGCGGTTAGAAGTAGACAAGAAGTGACAATTGTACTCTTGATTAGTCAAATTTGGTGGAAGGCCAGATAGAGTAAAATAAAAAGAGATATGTTTGTTAAATTGTTTGGAAACATTTCCTGAGGTGTCATCAGAATACATGGTTGTTTGGTATGTGTCGAATGATTCTACCATTAGCCTTGATGCGCCAAGGGTTTGGGAGGTTAACTTTGGTGCAGGGAAGATCGCCAATGTTGGTCTCAAACAATTGGATGGTAGAAATGTTTGATGAATGGGTACTACTGCCAAAAGATAGGTGAGAATGATCATTTTTGAACTGATTTACTGGGATGCTGAGTAGATTTGGATCATTGAAAGATATGTCAGGAGGAATGAATAATCTGACTGCTTCTTGATTGAGAAAGGTGATTTGGGGAACATAGCACTTGGAATATAGTTGAAGGTTGATTGTGTAGAAGAAAATTGGCACAGCAATTAAATTTTCAAAGGTTTGCATAGGCTCAAAAATGTAGAAATGGTGGTCATTGTTTGTACACATCTGAGGCCGGAATTCCTTGGGAAGATATTTCAGCCATTTTTGAGATTGGCTTAATTTGAAAATACCACAACCATTGGACTCTTGGGGATAAAATTCCAAATGTGGCGCCACAAGCGGGTTGGCAAGTTCCTGAAAAAAAAAAAAATTCATCAATAAATAGATAAGCTGAGTTGTTTTGTTTCAGTTTGATTTCCTATGCCTATGTATGAAGAGCTCACATTTTTCAGGATTTTTTTAATGCCAACAGAAGCACACGGCGTGCCCCAGACACTGTTGGAAAATTGGACTTCCATTTCCAGATGCTTGCGGATCCGTTCCTGTGCCCGGCGAATGGTGGACCAGGCTGGAATTTTGATCTGGCAGAGTATACGAAAAATCACGCGAATTTCGTCAAAGACATCCCGTGAAAGAATGTGTCGAGTATATCCAATCAAAAGGGATCCAACAAGTTCCTACAAGGAACCAACAGGAATAGTAAGTAATCCCTTTAATTTATCAATCACAGACAGGAAAAGATCAACTAACTAACCATCTTATTTTTGAAAGGGTACCACTCGTTATCGTTGGTTGAATTTGCCTCATCGTCTTCGTCGTCATCATTTGGATGCTCTCCCGGTCCATCCATGCATTCAGCGTCCATCTCGTCATAAAGCCAATCCATTCGATCATACTCTTCTGGAACACCGGCTCGCTCCTCCGTGAGATCAAAGAAATCCTCCGAAGTCATCCCTCGAATCAAATCTAAAGCTCTTCTTAATTCACGTGCGTGGACTTCCTGCGCTTCTTGATTGCCATTGGCCACGTCGACAGGGTTTTCCATCTCGTCTTCCATAACCTCATTATCTCGATTGTGGTTGTCCATTCCGTCTGAACGAGGGTCCTCTTCTTGGATTGGTGTGCTAGGTTCAGTTACAGTTGCATGGATCGTACTAGTTTGTCGATTCCGATGGTTCCGAGATCTTGCCTGAGTCAGTTTCCTCTGATGCGACTCCAAAGAACGATGGATTCGGATTCGTTTTTCGGACATTCGACGAAGCCCGCATGTGTCACATGTGAAGAGATGGGTGTTTGGCACTCTGGTAAAACCTGTGGATTTTGGAGTCAGTTAGTTATCTGGTATGAGAATAATGTTTGTCAAACAAAAAAACCTGCTTACCTTCCATCATTTGAAACACGCCAATAGTTTGTCTTAGTCGTTTTTTCTGACTTAATCGGGCGAGACGTGGACTTGGCAGCTGCAGAGTCAACCAACGGTGCTTCAAGAATGGATCTGTCCTGCTGACAGTCTGAAAACGGTTCCGTTGTCACCGTTCACCGGTCAGTCACAGCATCTCGGGCTTGCAGTCACAAACTCACCGTCAGGCAATCGGTTTTCCGACTTTCAGCATCCATCCCTTTACCGGTTGACTGCAGTGCTTGAAGAATCAGCTGATGGATCGATCCTGCTGACAGTCTGCCAACGGTTCCTATGCCACTGTTTGCCGGTCAGTCACACCACCTCCGGCTTTCAGTCACAATCCCCGCCAGCCAAACGTGACTGTTCAGTCGACTCACGGCGGTCAGACCCTCAAGTTGGACAAGTCAATGAATTGCGTTCTGCCGTTGGATGCTGGTCACACCAACGATTTGGTCATGCAACTGATGGAGACAATGATTCTCGTGCCGCTGTTCGATGCCGGTCAGACTAACGTCTGCCGATGAACCACGTTCCACCGTTGGATGCTGGTCAGATTAACGCTTTTGTCAAGCCACTCGACTCTGATCGGATGCTGATCAGACCAACAATTTATTGCAAGCCAATTGCCGCTGATCGATCTCGTCCCCCCATCTCTGAATTCCCCTTAAAACGCAGTAACTTCACCTTTCACCTCCCTCCTGTCCTCAAATTCAATTCTCCAACCGAACAACATACTAACCAGTTTCTTCCAGACCACCATGTCACACACAATCAACCAACACCATGCGGCTTCCCGTAGTGTTTTACATCCCCAACAAAGGGGGGTCTCTTCCCACATGCCCCCACCGAGCCGCCCAGCCTCACAACAGACTGCTCGTCCTTTTTCTACCGTCCGTAGGTGCACTTCCCTCTTATACCCCTTCAGACATCTCATGTATCCATAAATTCCCAACCCCATGATTCTTTGCTAGTCCCCCCCTCACATCAATGCGCGCCCATACTCTCCCAGTGCCCAATCCCGACCCCGTCTACGCCCCTCCCCAAAGCTATGCATCTGCTCCAATCAACCCTGCTGATTATTCTAACAGTACCGGTATGGTCGATCATCCCAATGGTGTTGGGGTTCCGGTTCAATATACTAACCGTAATTTTCAAGCCAATTTGGGACTTGATGGCCGTTCCGGTGCCAAAACCGTACCTGGCTACAGCGGCAACGACTCTACTCATTATTATCTCCCAGGAGATCACGATGACCTTCCAGATGTCCTCTCTCCTCCTCGATCGCCCCCAGCCACAAACGAGCAAACCAGCGAAGTCAGCTACAGTCTTGATCATCAGGCCAATCCCCCTGCAATCCGCCCCGAGGTCGATCATGCCAGCTTACAAGCGATTTTCCGCTTGTCTGAAGCTGACCTGAACCTTGCAAAGTCTATTCTTGTTGTAAGTACTCCTCTTTACTGTCAGGCTTACTCCATATTCACTGGCCATTATTTTCCCAGATGAGCGAGGCAAACATCACGGGAGCCATTGTCTATGGGCTTGTTGCCCAACGACGAGTGACTCATGAGAACCTTCCTGGCAATCCGACCCAACCCGACGAGGACGAGGTTGTTGCGCCGGCTGACCCCCCTGTCCCAAATGAACAAGTAGATGTGAGGAACTTCTTGTATAGCGACTACATCAAGGTAAGTCAATTCATTGTCACTTGTCCGTCTTTCACTTTTACTCACTCGTCCGTTGTGTTCCCTTGTTCAGGATGAGATCCGTGACTTTATTCGCCGCAAGATGATCGAATCGCGAATGGTTGCTTACAGCCGCCACTTGGATGACGATGGTGTTGCAGAGCCGCGGGCCTTGTTGACCATGACTCAGGTTTGTATTAGTTAAAAACATCATCTGGATTGAACCACCCTCATCTGATCTTCATTCTTTTGTTTTACAGGCTCACGTTGCGAGCCTTCCTGCCCACATCAGAAGACAGCACCTTCCCCCTGGATTTGGCGCTGGGAACAATCATGCACGTCGAAAGCGTACTCCAGTTGGTTCGCAATCTTTTGAAGCATGATCGAGTTCTTCTTCGCAACATGGTCAGTTTTCCTCCTTTCGCTCCCAAGTCCGATTTCTCTTGCTGATCTACAGTGACCCAGTTACTTAAAAATATTATAGACACCAGCCACGCAAGGGTTCGCGCGGGGGGTGTCCCTAGTCTTCAGATGCTGTACACCTCGGTGAGTAACTCCTCATGTACTGCGAACCCCATTCAACTACTCACTGACCATTTTCTTCAGATCCACACCAATTTCCTTGAAAATAGTGGAGTCCACGCGCCCCGAGTCAACTGGGCAATGTTGCCCATGCGCATCAAGGTGCGGTTTGCATACCTCCGATTGGAGACCGCGGCGCACACCTTTAGGAATTCTCAACGGCATGGGTCCCAATGGACACCCATCGATGAGCAATTGGCCCTCTTGACCACTAAATCAATGGACTATGTACGAGCGTGCGTAACGAACAGATCCATCTTGTTTCATCTTAAGCTGATTCCTTGGGTGATTTCAGGTGGGCAAATGCAATTATCGCGTTGGATTCTCAAATCTTTGGCACTGGTGGTGTCGTTTTCGCCGATGTGCGTCATTTGGTCGAGCTTCCAACTGACGAGGCAATTCAAGACACCCTTGTAACCAACGAATTATTACCCCCTGCCGAGCGCCCCCAACAACCGGTGATGGAAGACGATCTGTTCAATATGGACGCCTGATCTCTTATGTAGTACATCCTCCCTCGATTATTCAATCCTCGGGATCCTCATCAGCGCTGCTCGATGCACAGCGCAGAACCTCCTTATGTCTTTTTCCCCTGTTATCACCAATCGGTACTTGAAGACACTTGTCCAGGTCGGGGCTGCAGCAAATGCAGTTCCATTTGACGACCTCATTTTCTCTTATCAACTCATCCGGACTGTGACTCATTAGCCCCTAAATCATGTACACAAGGAGCCAGCTATAGACCATACATCCCTTCATGTACAGTAGATTGTCGAGTCATGTTTTTTCACATCATTTCACATTGTTTGTAATGCCTGCGATCCCGCTCCAGAAGCCTCAATAGAATACCTACATGCATGATTCTCAACCTGTTCGCTTTCCCCCCCCCCCCCCCCCCCTGCGCCTAAGCCTATTTCACACGGATCAAGTGAAAGCGATCCAAAAATGAGAATAATTCTCGGTTTCCAGACCGGAAAAAGAGAATTCTAGCGGATCACTCTTCTGGCCTGGCCGTCCCGTCTGGTTTGCTGAAAGGCAAGACAACGTTGGGATAACGTTTAGTCCAGGCAAAGGGCTAACCTCTCTGAGGACTTCTTAATCCTGACATGATGACGTTCGGTGTAGGCCCCGAGAACCATGTGTTCTTTCGACCTCAGGAAACTGGCGCCTCGTCGTTCCCATCAGGCGCGAGGTCGCAGATTGCTCACCAACGTCCTCGCAAGGCTAATCAGGCATTCTCTCCAAGCCGAGAGAGGCGAGCATCTCCTCAACCTTCCCAAACTGGCGCCTCGTCGTTCCCATCAGGCGCGAGGTCGCAGATTGCTCACCAACGTCCTCGCAAGGCTAATCAATCGCTCTTCACGGGCGCAAGGACACAGGCGTTATTACAACGGTGTGTGATTGCTCTTTCGACCTTCTGTCGGTCCCCTCACGAGTCTACCCACGTCGATGTGTCACCCGCGAAGGGTCGTCAGGACGTTGTCTGAACCCCAACCACGCCAACCACATCTTTCGATGTAATTTCTGACCGCGTTCGAACGTTGCCCCCTGCGGAAGGGGGCAACGTTCGAGGAACGCTTTTGCGCGGGGTCAACAGAACGTTCAGCTGCACCTGTGGTGTACGATAACGGTAAATTGGCGAAATTCGAGGGTGAGCCTTAGAGTTCTTTTGGTTATGCATTTCTTTCCCACAGTACTAGTTGAGCTTACTTGAGCTTACTTGAGCTTATGTGGAATCAAATGTGCTCTAACATATTTTAATACCATTCTCGTTTTCAGTGCAAGAACCAGAAAGGTACCCTGACAGTGGCAGCCTGTTTTCCTGCGCCAATGTGGCTTCAGATCAGCAACCCCGACCCAACATCATCAACATGTGTTGCGCTACTGATTTTAAACTTGGGGTCAGTTTCCATTTCGCGTTTGAGTCTCATGAACATCACGTCGCCTGCACTTCAAAGCCAGCTGATCGACATTTCATCTTACCTTGATGCCGTCGCAGCAAACTGCCAAAAACAAATTTGCTTCAATCGATGTGGGAAATTACGGGTCTACTTGCAGCTCCTCTAAGCCGCACACTTACTGATGAGGACTATCTATTTGGACAATTATTTCCTTGGCTGTCGCAACCTAAATCTGATTATCTTAGCCCAAAACTTTTCTGTTAAATTATCGAAATTGTGCGACAGCCACAAGTGCACTCTTGATGCTGGTTTCTATTTGGAATTTAATTTAAGAGAAGAACAAACGTTTTCTGAATTTTATTACAGCTTCAGGGATTCATTCCTCCATATCGGTACAATAATGTGCTCCTTCAACATTTGTCTGATGCTACGGCTTCTCGATATCAAGCTGTAGGCTTTGCCAAGCCGGCTACCCCTTACGAACCATTTGGAATCCTTTCGCATCTCCACTGCACTACTCAGTTCAGAAGCTGTTGGCGTTAACTCCAGTAGCAATTTTATGTGAGGAACCATGTCGATTGGATTGGAAGCTCTGATCCAAGAGTAGAGTAGTGAGCACGTTGAAAGAAAGCAATAAATGAATCTAGAGCAACATGTCTGTAAACACGAATGTCATGTTTAATCAACTGCACACCGCAGAAAGAAAATAACAAAACAACTTTCAGTGAGCGGCTGCGAAACATTGGGTTTTTTCGCTGCTTGAATTCCCGCTCGTAACCGCGACGCTTCTGACTTCAAGCCGTGTCCACCCCCACGTGAAGTTAAGCCATTCGAACGTCGTGACCGAGAGCCAAAAATCACGTCGCCGGGAGTCGGATTAGAGCCCGGCATTGAGAGCACTGACAAAGTCGACATGGTGATGAACAGTCGTCGCTTTGAGACCCTACTTTTTGGGCCTCGAGTCTCGGTGCAGGAGCCGATGTAGATGTAGTCTTTCTTCTTTCTAGGTGATGGACGACCTCAAATTCAATATGGTCGTCCATAGAACTTTAAAAGGCCTTTATACAAGCAGTCACATGAACAACATCCCAATCGGAGTCTTCAGGAATAACCATCGTCAATCATAAACCTCTCCGCTCAATTTCACCTAAATACATCGTCTTTTCAGCATATCGTTTCGCCCAAGCTCTTCTTCGCGATGAATTCTTCAATTTTTTGGTCCATTTCCATGACTCTGACAATCGCGTTTCAGGCTTTACTGCTGCAGCTGCATGGCTCGAAGTTGAGCGGCCAAGGCTGGACTTGCCCGAATGATTACTGGGCGTTGAGTGTCTGCGTTTGGCTAGTCACCCCGGTTGGTTTGCCTGAGGAGGGCTTTGGTGAGTCGCCGCTGTCTCAAACCGTCGGTCCCAGTGTACTACTCGGCCGCAATTGAACTTCTTGCTGACCAGGAATTAAGGGATTTGATGATGCGTCTGTTTTGCTTACAACTTTCCTACGAACATCACGTGCATCACCTACAATTCCTGTGCAGTGATAAAGCCAGAATTTACCGCAACCGGCACAACCTGCGAAAGTTGCGAAGCGGTTGCTGAAAGGTGGTTTATAGCAAATTTGATGGACAACTATTGCTGCTCCGACGGCGACTTCCCTTACAATAGGGGGTATCAAATATAGGAAATCCACCATCAGAAACCAGTCACTTTTTCAAAAACATTTTTTTGCATAAATGGGCCCCAAAAAGGTTTAAATGGATAACCAACATGTTTAAAAAAAGGTGGATTTTTTCAAACCAGTCAATTAAATAATGGTGGATTTGGTTATATTTGATGCCCCCTAATGTGTGTTTTTCTATCTCGAACTTTTACAGACTCTCATTCTAGTGCCGAAAAATCCAAGCTGATCAACAGCTTCCCTCTACTTTGCCCACAGCCATCAGACTATAACATGACCCAAGTCAAACCAGATGATGTCCGCTCATACTGTAGGCTGGCAGCAATCCAATGAGAACTTCAATTCATGGGTCCATAAACCAGTTCATAATCACCCAGCTATCTGGTGACCAATTTTATCCTTCCTTTATCCCGGTTGAAAGACATTGGGATTTCCTGATACATTGATGGACAATTTGATAGCCCTGACATTTTTGAACCAAATGTCAGTAGACTTGTTGTTTAGGTTGATCAAATTTGAGCTGCATAGAATCACAGATGTTATTTGATTTGGCCATCAAAAATGTTGTATTTTTATTGAGATTTGATTTGGCCATCAAAAATGTTGTATTTTTATGCATAACCTTTCAATTCAAAATCATAAGCATAAGGGAACACTGTTGTACAAATTGTAATATTAATAGATGTAAAAAATACCACATGATTTGCTCAATCTTTGCAAACATGATTATTGACATACATTACAGGTTTACAATTATATGTACAACAAATGAATCTTTTTCACATGAGACCCAAAAAGCTCAAAACAAATGATGTATATCTTCAAAAAAAACATAAAAAACAACACTGGAAACTCACATAACTTCAGGAAGTGGCAGCAGTGCTGGACATTTAATCTTTATCTTCCAAATAGAAGTAGGAAGTATCAAAATCCAGAAGAAGCCTTTTCCTTCTCTGACAGGTCAAAGAGCTTATGTTTCTACCAATTGAAAGTGACACATCCTCACACAAACAATACATTGTCTTTCAAAACACAACAACCAGAGCTGTGTATGAGAGACAGAGAGCATAAGGTTAAGCTTCTCCTATTAGTATTACACTGCATTGTCTTAGTGACATAACTTGTATGACTCACAAATTGAGTTCATATTAGCCAGTCTCTGGCACACATTTCTTTTCTTTTCTTTGTCCTGATGATTGGTTTACTGGCTTTCATAGTTTTGACAACATATGGATAGGTTTTTTTATTAAAAAAAAAAAAAAGAAAAAAAAATTAGTAATGTATCTCTCAAAAGTCAAGAGAAAAAGAGCAACAAGAGCCAAAAAAAAAAAAACAACAACAATAGTATTATTCGAATATGAGAAATGAGGGGTAACCAAAATTGGACAGTTGTTTTTTTAGTAAGGAGGGTATTCAATAAGAGTAGAAAAAAATAATGAAATGAGTCTCTATTATATATGAATGTATCAGTAATTTTTGGGTTTTTTTTAAGGATGGGAAAAGGAAAGTGTTTCTTTTTGTTTTGTTTTTATGTTTCTTTTTGATTGGATTATGATGAACAGACATATGAGGAAAAGGATTACTTAAAAAGACAGATTTTGAGCGGAGATACAATGGAATGAGGTGTTGTTATAAATGATGAACAGAGTGCGTGTATGTATTTTTGTTTTATATTGATGACTAGATCAGTATCAAAAGAAAATGGATGGGTTTTGATCTGTGCATTGTGTATCGTATAAAGATGTGCGTGTGTTGTATCAAGAGAACTTCAAAAATGGTATGACGATGATTCTCTGTGTATATGAATGAGTACGAAAAAATAGAATTAAAATTATGTTGAATGATGAAGATTTGGATTGGAATGATTAGGAATACGGCTCAAAGAAGGCACCGAGCCAGGATGATTATTATTATTGGTAGAGGATGAGGAAGAAGGGGCGGTGGAAGAGGATTGAAGAGATCGAGTATTCGAGTCGGAGGGAGTAGAAGCAGCGAGATGAGAGGATGAAGACGAAGATGAAGAAGCAGCGGAAGAGGAAGAAGAGCCGGTAATAGCGAGGATCCGACCAAGTAAGATGCTCGAATAAGAATGGCTGTTACGCATACGAAGAGGATTAAAGACATTCACGGCGGGATTCCTGGCGCTCGCAAACCGAGCTATTGCTGAGGTGGATGGCAAGTTCGGAGCTGGTGGCGGAGAACAAGATGAGAGTAAGGAGAGGGTCGACGTCAGTGACGAGCTGGGGATCGGGTTCGATGTGCCAGCCGAGAAGGGATCATAGACCGTAATCTTCCGGTGCTCATTTCCAACTATAACAGGGGTCGCTTTTCCTCCTCTTGTTGGAGATCGATCTTCTACTCCAACGGGTCGATCTTCTGGAAGTTCGGAGGGATTGGTCGTGGCGTCTCGGAGGCCGCCTTCTTCCTGGCCTTCATTGGTCGCCCGAGTGACTTCTCCTCCTGCTTCACCCAGCTCATTCAAATTCCCATTATCATCGTTGTCGTCATCTCCGCCATCAAAGAGCTCATGACACGCCAAGAAGGGATAGTTAAACTGTACGCCGGCCCATTTGATTGACTTGATCGCTGAGGAGGAGGCTGCTTTCTGCCCGGAAGATCGCCCGTCCCTCTTCCTCATGTCGACTGCCGATCGCCGCTCGATCTCTAGCCATCCAGAGATATCGACATACGAGACTCGCTCGAGAGTCGGGACAAAGTTCCCAAGGATCATCACTTGTGACTTCATCCCTGCCTGGACATGAATGAAATCGTGACAGGTGAACGGACTACAATTCCAAGTTAGCCTTCTTAATTTCTCGAACTTCGATAACGCTTCCGCCCACGAATGCTAAATAAATAAGGTTTGTTCTTCTCCTCAGTCATTGCATTCAACAACAGAAGTGAGAGAGGGCGAGTGTTTTACTGACTAATTTATGAGGCCACCAACGGCGTAAGGGGGTTTCCAAGATGACCTGAAGGTCTTCCAGATTCGGGAATTTTTCAGCAAGTTTCTCGAAAAGAGCAGGACTGAAATCCTGATCACGCCAAAGGGTCAATCTCAATGTGATGAGGACGGGGGACCTGAAGGCTTCCAATAATCGGAGAAGGTCGTTGGTCGAATATGGCTCATCCAGATCCAACGTATGCAAGTTGATCTTGATCCCATTACTTGAGATCATCTGATGAGCAAAAGTTTTTGAAAATAAATTTCAGTCCAGTTGAAGTGAGTGATATGAAGAGGGTAAAAGAGAAAGAGGACTGACCTGCCTACTCTCCCGTAAGCTAGATTGTAATCCAACGACCGAGTTGCCGTATAAGCCTTTGAGCCTTAAGCTCTTGAGGGTCGTCCACTGTTGATCGGAGAGCCAATGATCGATGGACGGATAGCTGATGAGGAAGTCTCTCCAAATCCTGAGTTCCTTGAGACCGGTACACCGCTTGATGAGGCAGAGGATCGAGTCATGGACGGCAATGAGATGTAAGTTCTCGAGGCTGGCAGGCAATTGGGTGGTGATCTGATAGGTGTTCCTTCGACGGTGTTGGTGTGGTTGTTGGAGTTCGAGGCCGGAGAGATAGAGGTTCTTGAGTCGGCCGAGCTTGCTGATCGAGTTGATCAGGTTTTGGTCGATCGAGAGTAGCTCGTGTGGGGATCGTTCGGTGACGAGTTCGAGGTTCCTCGAGTAACACAAGAATTCGATCGAGTTGAGTTGGTGTTCGAGTAGTTTTGCCAGACTGGCATACCAGGTCTTGCGCTCTTGGGATGAGTTCCTGAGGTCGGTAGCATGGTCCTTGATGAGCAGTTTCTTGATCCACCTCGATCGATTCGGTTGGTGTTTGATCAATTGTTTGATCCGATCGGTTGCTTTGGTTAGTGAGTGTTGCTTGGTTCGATCGATGGTCAGACTGAATTGGTTTGATCTGAGTTTTTCTGTGAGTTGGTGGATGGTGTGGCAGGTGGATGAGAAGTTGAGTAGGTCATCTGCTGGCTGGTCCCACTGTTCGATTGTCAGAGTGGGTGCTAGTAGTAGTTGGGCTATCTGGAAGATGAGTTCGGCTGGTAGATTGAGTAAGGAAGTCCGCTGAGCTGCTGTTGTTGTAGTTGTCTTTATCCTGTCCTTTTGTGTTGGTAGATGGTGATGGATGAAGGAAGTTGTTGTTGTTGTTGTTGATGAGTCTGAGCTGCTATGGCTTTCTGATGAGAGTGAGCTTTTGAGTCGTTTTGTGGTTTTCTTGGTTGTCTTCTTCTTTCTGTTGTTGTTGTTTTTCTGTTCTTGTTGGTTTCTTGCTGATGTTGTTCCTCTTAGTTGGTATACCCTTGCCACTCTCCTCAAGCTGTTGGTCATGGTTTTTTTTTGTTTTTTTCTTGGTTTCTTCTTGACCGTCCTGGCTTATTCACCTCCCCTCTGCTGTGAAAATATTTAAATGGTTCAGTCACATTACGTCATCAATCTACTTCAATTCTGACTCATCATGGATGATCCTCCCCGGGAGCAAGCCCGGTCTGTGTGCACCCCCCGAGCCCCAACTTGAGAACACATTTTCAAGGTAAACACTCATATGGAGGATTTACATAATTATTGGTCCAACCTCAATCTCAACAATACATAATCATCATCGAAACAAAACAAAACAAAATTGACAACGTTTAAAAGGCAAGGGTAGAACTGTGAAGACCTTGATCCAAGAAGTTTGCCTCAATCCCAGCCATCTGAGCCTTCACTACCCTCAACTTGGAGCCAACGCTCATCATCATGAGTTGGCTGATCGACGAGTGGATCGGCAGAAAATTCAGCCGGAGACCAATGGGGCCCAACAGGCTTGATCTCGACCCCCTCACTGCCGCGTCTGACCAATGGTCTCCTGGCCATCACGGCCGCCTGATGACTGGGAACGCCCGAGGCCTGATTTCGACGGGCGACAAGAGTGCTCAACGGTTCCTCATCAGAGGCCGAGAAATCGACGGCATGTCCGTTGGCTAGTCGACCCGAGTCTGACTCTTCCGACTCGTCACTCTCCACATCGTAGTCGGCATGGTAGGGCGAGACCGTCCGTCGTGGAACCCCTTGCGGAACTGACTGACCACGCATCGACCCACTCGGGATAAGATCCGGATTCAGTCGCTCCTCTCCATAGGTAAACGCTTCCTTCTCGAACTGTCTCCTCCGCAACTGGGGCGCTCGACGGGTGAACAGGTCTCGTGGGGGCCATAAGTATTGTTCCAACGGATCTGGTAAGAGATCAGATAGACCTGAAATCAGCCTCCAGAACTCTGTTCTCGAATATACCAGTCGATATGAACAAACTGGCACCCTTACCAATCGTCGCCAGAGTAGGGTATCGAAGTCCATCACCTGACATCCGCTGAGGAAGCCACCATAACAACGGATTGGGACCTAGTACTACTTGTAGATTACGATAAATACCTATTGAAAAGGGATAAGTGAACTGAATCAATTTGTCAAACGATCTAGCTCAAAAATCCCTTAGCATTAAATGTATATATATGTTGAAAGATGCAAGGATGGGGTAGATACCTGCTGGATCCGGCCCTTCCTGCGCAACTCTCTCGCCTTTTCTTTCTCCCATCCTTCGATCGTCGTGGTATTGCTGAGGACGGCCCAGAGATGGTAAAGGCTAAAGACTCCAACGGCTAGGATGACCGGCAGACAAGACACATAATTCAACACCAGGATAATCATTTCCGTCTTACTTGGTTCGGGCTGTTTACATAACATCCCATACAAAAAAAAACAATCAAGATCAGTTTTTGTCGAATTCTCATTATGCTTTTCGGATGTATAGAAAAAGGGGCGCAACAGATGGAGAGGAGGATGTATGTATATATACCCCATAAGCAAATTCACCAAAGACTCGTTTACTGATCATCCAGATATGATACCAACACGCCAAATCAACAAATCCTAGGAATCTTAGAAAATGGCCATAGTTATGATGTCCTACACAATTATTCACCCATGGACACTATTCTTTTCCCAACAAATATTCATTTAGAGGTCAGTCAGACTTTTGGTTTCTGTGAGGTTTTTCTTTTGAGGTAAATATGTGCAGATTGCGGCTGTTTCTTGCATTGGTGGGGGAGATGTTGAGGGTAATCCAGAGGACACGAGTAAGAAAGACGAACGTGATGATCCATTTTGAGTACACATCTAAAGAAATAAAAAAGAGCTTCGTCAATGGAAATCAAATCTCAAAAGCTTGGAGAGAGAGAGAGAGAGAGAGAGCGCGTGTGAGGGTGGCTGTACGTGGATAGACTAACCTCTTACAAGTTCTACAATGGTGAGCTCGTGGTGGTTTAGAAACTTTACAAGCTCTACAAAATCTGAGTTGGCCGAGCGAGAGTATCTTAGCTCGATCGTGCTCTTCACTCTCGATCAACCCTATAGGATCCTATGTCAACCACAAAGAACCAGACATTTCAGAGCGAGCTGATGAATATAGAATAGATACTAAAATGCAGAGAGCTGACCCATTCTTTAGGTACTCTGCCGGGATCGGTAGTAATGCAGAGGTAGTAATTGATGAAAAGCAGGCCGACGAGGATGTTGAAGGGTATGAGTAGGCTCAGACAGTCCGGGTTGGTCGATGGATGGTCGAAGAGTGGTATGATGATGAAGATCTGGGGAGTGAAGGCGATGAAACTTATCAGGCTCGTCGTCCCGATTATCCTGTGTTCAAACAAAAACCAGCATCAACATCAGTTTATTCAGTCCTGCTGATATAGTTTTGTGGATATTCTGAGATTCATCACGATCATTCATTACTCACCAAAGCCTGCCTGTGTCAATAGACCACATGAAGAAGAAGCGAAAGAATATTGTCAAAGTGATGTTGTGTGACTAAGGCACAGCCATGTCACGCTCGTCCATGGTCGCAGCCTACTAGCTGGCTCGGACTGAGTCCGCTGCGCACAGACGCGCTAGAGGCCTCTGTGTTTCACATGCTCCGTGGTCGTCGAACGGGATAAAGAGAACTCCCCCAAGAGTCGTCCTTCTACCCCCTCGACTATCCCCCAGCTAGGTTGACTAGACCTTTCTCCTTTCCGCTCTTCCCGTACACCTTTCCCCCCCATTTTTCACATACCACCCACCCACCCAGGAATGGAGGTAGCGGAGGAGAACCTTTTAAGTCACCACCGGGGGAGAGAGGGGTCTAGACCCAAAGGGTGGGGTTGTATGCCTGAGTCCCCCCCCTTCTGTTTTTCCTATACATGTCCTACTTTCCACAGCCTTCACCGGCCCGAGGGGGGCTGAGAAAGCTCACCCCCCCTCTTTCTCCCAGACCCAAACATGGCCTAAGTACACTGCCCGGAGGTAACGACTTAGGCCATGCAAGGGTGTCGGGAAGGCTAGCGGAAAATGGATGGTGATGGACTGCTAACTTAACGCAAGCCCCTCGATCGGATGGGCCTGTGCCAGGCTGGCGCGAAGCGCCCCTCGCGGAGCGAGCCTCCGAAGGAGGGACTTGTGAACAAAGTCGGCTTTCTTGTGTGGAAGCTGGCATCAGTTAGGTGGGGAAATTCTTGCTCGCAGACTTGTGTCATCTTCCAAGTGGAAATTTGACCCGCCTGTTTGACCATTTGAGAGGCCGGCTTCTTCTGATCATTTCCGTATAACTCTTGGGGCCATGGGCCCTCACCTGCCCCCATCAACAGCGTTCCACAAAGGCCGTTTGGCCAGAAGTTTCATGATGGGCCCCAACTATGGTCATAGAGATTCCCGTTTCTTCCCAGAGATTACCACTGTATTTGGACCAAGTCCCCCAATTGGCATCTCAGGGACGGATGACTTATACTCACTACAATTATCAAAAAATTATATGGGCAGAATGGGAAGAAGCTCAGGTATCCGAAGAAGTTGACGGCATCAAAATCATCCAGATTTCTCCTGAGTTATAGGGGATTTTGTGTGCAAAGGCCAAAAAAAGCCACAAAAAGCCTGAGCTTCCAGGCCGATGTTTCAACTTCACTCCCAAGCCCCTCTTTCAGAGGCTCGCTTCGCGAGGTGCCCCCGGCCCTCTGGAACGAGGGGATTGTGTTAAGCTAGGATGGACTGGTGGTGGCACTTGCACTAGTACACAGTGCCAGTGACATGTGAGCAACTGTGGAGGGTGAGATCTGTGACATGCTGGGATCCTCAACGGCCCATCTGTGACAGGTCGAGAGGAAGAAAGCTCGAAAAAGGACAAGCTGGCGAAAAATTGATAAAGACAACGAAAAAAAAAAACGAGATGAACGCATCCCAGGAACGACGGACGCACCGAAACCAGCACCACAAACCCAGGGAACGACAGCCGGAACTCATTAAAATCACAGAGGAGACCGCACGGTTCGGCTTGCTACGGTTGATCGCCATCCAGCTTGGCACGGCCGGGTTCACGCATGTCGAACATCGCTCGCTGATCGAAGACCTCGAAGGATTAGTCAGTGGCCGTTGAGTTCAATCTCTTTTCTTTTGATCGAAAAATCTATCTTCAAGAAGGAAAAAAACAGGATCATGTTTCTGATTTTGGTTTTTTGTTCAGTCTTAGATGGAATCATTCAACTGGCCTATGAGCTTGCCCAGCTCTCTAATCGATCAAGACCTAATGTTCGTGACATGATCGCGGCTTGCGCTGATCAAGGTATCGAGGTCCATCATCTGAATGAGCTCCTGTCTATCCAACCCGCTCCTAACGAAGGTTGGCCATCCAATCCATATCCCTCCTCTCATCCATCCCTGGACATATCTTAATCCTGAATAAAACAAACCTGATAGTTGGGGGTTTTTTTAACGGACTTAATTTTGGCTTGCTTTGTCTAGAGTTGAAGTTAGAGATTCCAAGGGCTAGGTCGGACCAGCCGATAGACCCCACCCTGGATTTCCTTGCCTCGGACCCAGAGAGCGGGGACGAAGAGGACCGTAACGGAGGCGATATGGTGATGAGCTCTCATTCCAAGCGACATCGACCCAACTCTGAACGGATAGGTGGCTTGCCTCATCTGCCCTCATTACCCGCAAAACATACATGGATACATACCGCTGTAAGATTAGATCTTCATATTTCAAAGAATGTCTGAAAGGGTTCTCCTAATCATTTATATTCTTCTTGGCGCACGATGTAGTTGAAGCCAGCCTCAGCAACGGTTATTCCACCAGAGCATCTTTCACGGCCAGCCACAACAACCCAGCCGATGACAAACTTACTGACAAACGAGTTCCTACAGGCAGATGAAGAGGACCCGAATACGCCCAGCTGTCTGGGCTTCTTGAACCGCCGGATCCGGGACACCCGACTGGTCGAACGCTCGCTCACCAACCTAGTCCAGCCGAACTCGATCCTCTCTTCTCCATCTAACCCTCTCCTTCCTACTGCCCAGCCTCCCCCATCTAGCCCGCTTAGATCACCCCCGAAACTGCTCCTCTCTGAAGCCGATATCCCGATCATTAACTTCGAACGCGATTGGTATCCCGATCAACATTCCTCCGACTGATCGATGGTGATGTTGTGAATGAAGTGGATGTTTCTTGTTTGGGTAGATGTCTATAGCCCGGGTTTATCTCATATTGTACTTTTGTAATCAATTGCATTTCTTCCTGTTGTTTGTATATCAGTGGATAACCACTTGCGAATCGTCCATCCACTTCCTAGTCTCAGCGTGCCGATGAAGGTTTTGTAAAAGGGTTAAGTGGTCAGATTGACTAGATTAGGCTGCGGGGTTGTCCCAGTTGAGGAGGAGTCTTTGGCACGATCTGCTTGACAAACATCAATCTGCAGAACCCCTCCGAGTCATCCTTGTATGTATTTGTTTTCTATATACATTCTGCAGTGCCTCTGTCTGTTACGGATGTATCATCGCAATTGATTGGCTAGAATATTCCGGCTGTTGGTGTCTAACCTTTCTTCTATGATAAGCAGTTCATAGTTTGGCTCAGTATGTGATCAGAGGGGAATCCAATATTTCTTGTTTGTCCTCTGGCTGGGCTTCGGGTCCCCCGATCTGCCCCTTCCGGCTCGGGAATGCAGCGTGGTTCGGGTGAAATGGATTACGTAATCAGGCAAGCTGACTTTGTCCGGCCAACTGGAATCTGTGGCTTTCAACACTCCTCATCTTCCAACCAACCCACCCAAAAACCATCCATCATCACCTCAGACTCAACAGCAAGATAAATACTTAAATAGAATAAGCATTCGATATGTCTTCTCAAGAAGCCACCACCTCATCAGCCGAGCCTGCCACTACTGACTCTCAGATCACTATCAATATCAAGGCTCCCTCCGATTCAAAGTTATCTCTGTCGATCAGCTTGTCAAAAACCGTCTGGGATCTCAAGAAACTTATCTCTGAATCGACTGATCCAAAGGTCCAAGCTGAGAATCAGAGGTGTCAGTCAAAAAATCTACATTGATTTACTTATCTTCTTTACCTATCGTTTTGTTGATTGATAACACTGATATGGTAATCGGATTTACGGGGGAAAAAAAATCAACAGTAATTTACTCAGGTCGAGTGCTCAAAGATGAAAGCTTATTATCCGAATACAAGATCCAATCTGGGCACTCAATACATATGGTCAAAGGCGCACCCCGACCTACAAACCCAACACCAGCAACACAACAGATCCCCTCGAATTTGAACGCCGGACAACAGATCGCCGGGAACCCTTTGGCTCCTTTACTCAATGCTACTAACCAAATACCTGGATTCAATCCCTTTGCCGACCTTGGTATCAGTTTAGTCTCCTTCTTGTTCTTTATAATACCATTGCAGCTTCTGACTATCAACCGAATGGGAAAATTTTAACACTACTGATTCAATGCCTTTGTTTGATTAGATACCAATGATCCGAATATGGCGATGAATATGATGAACAATCCCCAAGTTTTACAAAGCGCAGCTAGACTACTAGAAGATCCTGCCATGGTCGATCAGATGGTTTGTCGGTTGAATTTGAGCATATGCTTGAATAACGAAAATTGACTTGTTTTGTTTTGATCGACTGAGCAGATTGCTAGCGATCCTCGGCTACAATCGATGGGGCCTCAAGTACGAGAGATGTTACGATCACCGATGTTTCGACAAATGCTCACGAACCCGGATCTGATGCGGAGCATGCACGGGGCGATGCGAGGGAGCGGAGCGAGTCCGTTTGGGGATCTAACCGGAGCGGGAGCAACTGGTGGTGGGGCGACCGATCCGATCGCAGCCGCATTGGGCGCACAGACGGCTGCAGGTGCCACTCCCGGCGCCACCGCTGCTCCTCCGACTGGCGCAGCTCCAGGGATGGACCCGCTGGCTTTCATGAATACTCCGTTTGGTCAGTTGATGCAACAGATGAACACTCCCGGCGCCGGCGCTGGTATGATGGGTGGGATGGGATTTCCTATGGCGGCTCCTCAACCGGCTGATCCACGAGCTCCTGAAGAACGGTTCGAGGTCCAGCTTGGCCAATTACAAGCTATGGGATTTACTGTAAGTACTTAACAAATGAGAAACCTTAAGAAATCTCGTATTCTAGTTAATTCACTGAATACCTTTGTTTCTTATGGATGTTGTAGGATGCTAGGCAGAATGTGAGGGCTTTATTAGCGAGTGGAGGAAGTGTCGAAGCAGCAATTGAGTACATTCTAAGTGGCAATTAAAAGCACACAGATCATGGGAAAACATTGTAGAAGTGCATGTTTTGGAGTCAATTATTCAAAGACATAAGATGACTCCTGCAATTTAAGGCATTTATTCATTCATCAAAACAGATCAATCATTTGGATTAGTTCTCAATTCTCCCTCCCTCTCTCTCCCTCTACATGAGTGTATCAAATTTTAACTTGTTATCTAACAACCAATCACTTATTTATCTAGCCCAGTTTATCTCTAAAATTCTATAAAAATTAAAAATCAAAAATAACTTCAAGGTTGATTCCCTTTCTTACTTTCAACATATACACACCATTTTTTTTTTGGTTTCTTCTTACAATTCTTTCTTTTTTCTTGTGTGTGTGTGTGTGTGTGTTTTTTGATACACTTTCTGTACTGAAATCTCAACAAAAAAAACACAAACCATTCTTATGGGGTGCATGGTGGGGTCTTGTTTGAGTTGTGACCCAGAAAGGGGGTTACAGCACACTCACTAGACACCAGCACACTATGTTCTGTCTTCATCAATATTATCCATCCTGTACCACTTCAATTTGTGCACAGAAATCAGCATGTGAGCATGTGTATGTCATCTTCATGTCCCAGTGGTTTCCCTGTGTGCACAGTCCTGTGTGCACAGTTTTGGAAAAGTTGAGGCTTGATTCACATTGCACAAAGCTGTTTCAGTGAAATGGATATGTTTGTGATCTTTGTTTTGACTAATTTCTTTGCACAATGTACACACACTGATGAAAAATGCTTCTGAATACAAAAATATGAGAAAAACTGCTTTTCGAAATTTTCAAAAAAAAAAACAAAATACAATTATTGCACTTTTTTTCAGAAGTTTCAATATTGCTTGGAATGATGAAATTAAAATTGGAAAGAGTTTTCTATGGTATGCAATAAGATTGATAATAAATGAAGAAAGAATAAACTCCAGAAATCTTTCTGAGCTCAGTATCCAGGTCAAAATCCAATTTGAATTTGATCACACTGCCTTTTCCACTGTGAGACTGATGAATGCCTCACTCCACACCAGCTTAAAACCATCTGGAATTTATTTATTTTTTTCAAAATTTTCATTGATTAGAATTCCTCCAGCATACCATACTGCAATGTCCAATTTATATTTGCTCATTTTGAGCAATATTATAAGAACTATTGAAAAAGGGCCTTAATGAAAAACACAGTTTTTCCACGTTTTGACACGGTTTTTGATGCGCACAACGCACATGGATTCCACATTTAGACGCGGTTTTTTAATTAATTTGTTATAATAGCGGGGTTCATGATAGGATCTTTTCAGGAAGAAAATCAAGCTACTCAGTAATTGGGAGCGCTCAAACCTTGGCTTAATTTTTAGACAAAATTAAGCTTAATATTTAACCGATCGAGGAAAGGTTGAGTGAAGTTTAAGCCTTAATCTGCACTCAGGAACCCTTAAAGCTTCCTGAGCTCAGGAAGCCTTAGAGGTTCCTGAGTTGGGATTCTGAGCTTAAATAGAGGCTTAAATTAAGCTCAGGATTTCATAATTCAGGAAACATATAAGCCAGGTTCAGGAAGCAAAAAGCTTATTGTGAACCCCGCTAATGGCTTATTTTTTGATTTTTTTTTCAAATTTTCAAATTTTTTTCCTACACTTTGAAAGGTGTAGAATTCTATGGTAAAGCCCATTTATCATAAAAATTACTTTTTTTTTTTGCTCACTCATTTTTTCAATTAATTTTTAACGGCTTGTTTTTCATTCTTTTTTGACATTGTAAATCTGTTTCCAGCTACACTTTGAAAGGTGTAGAGCTTAATGGTAATATTTGTTTGGCATAAAAATGATTTCTTTGCCTTTTATTTTTTGTGCTCACTCATTTTCTTGATGCAATCACTGTCCAAAGTTCCTGGTGGTTATTCAACCTTCTGAACCTGAATTTCTGCATGGAAAAAGGCACAAAATGCTATGATATTCTAATGAGGCCAAATTTCGATCTACAGAAGATTGTGGTTATAAACAAGTGTAGTGTAGATTTTAATATGAGAAGTGGGACAAAAGTAGGAAATAGGAGGTATTTTTTATGTTTGTTTGAAATTTTAAATTTGTTTCCTACATTTAAAAATGTCTAGAATTTAATTGTAACAATAAATTTTCATAAAACTCAACAGTTCATGTTGAATATTGTAATTAGTCATATTTTTCAATTAATTTTTAACAGCTTAAATTTCATTACTTTTTAACATTTCAAATTATTTTCCTACACTTTCAGACATGTATAAAATTATGGTGACAATCACTTTGCATCAAAATGAAAACTATATCTTGAATATTGCATTTGACATGTTTTCTTTAATTAATTCTTACACGCTTAATGATCCTTATTTTTTGGAATTTAAGTTCATTTCCTACATTTTGAGACGTTTTTGGATTGATGGTTATATTGATATTGCATAAAAAAAATTGTATATGGTACAATTTATTAGTGGTATTCAAAGTTGATCTTCAAATAGCATTCTACATGAAATCATAAGCTCAAGAGGATCAAAATTTCAGTTTTCTGGAACTTCAAAGTCTTCTCTGTTTAGAACACTTCTCAAAACTTTGGTGAGCTTTATGATTTTGTGTAGAACGGTGTTCAAAAATCAACTTTGAAACCCCCATTCAAGAAACAGGGTTAGCTGACATATTAAGATTGAAGTATTGATTTTTAGGCAAAATGAATCATATCATCTATTTTTAAACATCTCAAAATGTAGGAAATAAATTTTGGAACAAAAGAAAAAACTATCATAGACCTGGTATTCCTTGTAGAAAGGTTAAAAAGAAAATGAGACTCTCTTGATTATGCCACACAGAAAACCCCTTTTTCTTGTGAAGAATACTTCAGTAAAATAAAAAATTCAAATGAGAAAAATGATTCAGAACTTTTGGAAAGGAACAAGATCAACACCAAAGATGTCATTTCAAATTCTGATCAAAGTGAAATGAAGAAGATTCCTGACTATTTCATTAATGAAAACCCTTGCCTGCAATTTAAAATTTCTGGAGATTAAATACCCACATTTAAATTCAATCTTGTTAATCTCTTTTCATTAATTGCAAAGGAGCTCTATCCAGATATTATCTCTGAGATGTAACTACTTTCAATAAATGATTTGAAACAAAATGAAAAAATCTCATGGATATTAATACTTATGTGATGAAAAAATTTGTGAAATAGAGTGAAGAATGAAAAAACTTGCAATACTAATGTGTAGATTTGTCAATGTACCAAAAGAGTATGAAGATCCAGAGGAAATCTTTCATCTTATATCACTATATTCCAAATACAAAACTGTCAGCCACAGAGTACATGTCACAGTACCTTTCATGTACCAAGTAACTGCAACACCTGTACATAAGTACTTATCCATAATGTTGATTACCTTTACCTCTTGTTATCTTATCATTATTATTAACTTATCTTATTTATTTTATATTTATCTTATCTGTTAATTACTTATCTATTAAATACATACCTGTGTTCTACATAAGTAATTATCACTTACCTTTCACTCCTTTGTCAGTGAAATACCTGTACCACAAGTTATCCCTCTTCTACAGTATTTTCACGGTCAAATATTATTACAAATAAATATGTACTTGTATTAAATAGTAAGTGTTAAGTGTCAATAGAATTAATACATTCAATACATGCACTGATCTCAATTATGACTACATTATTAGAGGATCTGTTAAGTACACGCATCAAGAGCAACTAGTACATTGATCAACTAGTACACAATTATGATGTCACTTACAGATCATGACAAATAATGATCAGTCACTCAATTGATGTGCTCATTCTCCTGGCTAAAGCTCCCTTGATTCTGAGCGCTCATTCTTTCCCTCCTTCAATATTCTGGAACTTATAATCCGTGCCTCTTTCACTGATTAATCCCCAGAATATTCAGACACCAGTTAAACCAGTTAACATTTATATTGATACAGTACACTTAACCAACATATATCTAGTCTATATTTATTGTTCTTAAGCTTCAGTACTCTTACTTAACTTATCCACAATATTCATAGCCTTGCTGAATATTCCCATCAACAATACCTGTTGATCTTCAACTAAATTTGTTAAAGCTTACTCAGTATTGTTAGCCCATTCCCTTTTGGGGAATAACCAAATCAATCCCAGGTGAGTCTTAGTACCTTGGATGCCTATTAATACCTTGTATTGATCCGGATGCACTGTTGATAGCAAGCCTCTCAGTAAAGACCATACTGATAGAGTGAAACCTCCTCACTACAGGACTGGTATTAATCACCCACTACCTAACACTCACCACACTCAAAAACTTCAGTCAACTCATAGTAACAACCTTTTTACTATTAAATACTCAGGTTAGTTACCCAGAGGCTGACAAAAACAATGATGCATAATGTTAGTTTATCTGGAAATATGAATTCTTTTTACAATGTAAAAGAATACAAAGATGAAATGTTCAAGGTACTCAATCAATACAGATCTCAATTTGAGAAAATTTCCAGTGGTCATAATGCTGAACTCAACAAAATAGAACAAAGATTTGTAGACTCATATAATCACAGTTCCAACTGATGATTATTAGGATTGTGTTTTAAAATGTGGTCTCGGTTGGATTTCTAGATTAAATTCTTATTTTCTTCTAAAGCATTTTATGGTCACTGGATTATTGAATTAAAATTTTTATTCTCCTTATGCACTAGAGTTCTCAACCCATCTACATAGCTTTCTCTTGCTGTTTTCTGCAATAAAAAAATCTTTTGAACTGATCAATGGCTGGGACTCAAAATGGATCTGAAGACTAGATAAATTATGAATAATTCATCTTTAGCTCTAGGAAAATGCTATAGCTTCAAAGCATAAAATTCCACTTCTGTGATAGCAAGTGTTACCTGCTATGGTCAATAATCTTGAGGAGCTGTAATGGGTCAAAAGCTTTTCCTTTTCTCAACTAAATTTGTTGAACAAAATGTTTTGTGTGTTTCCAAATTGAAATAAAATAGGCCTAATACCAACAATGAAGCTGATCCAATCCCCGGATCGGTATTTATTGGGTGTTGGATCAAAAATGGACCCAATACCGGTATCAGTATTGGATCAATCTTCAATCCAATCCCAATTTATCGGACATCTGGGATTGGGTGAAGCAATCCAATACCAATACCTGGTATTGGGTCCATTTTTGATCTGATCCCCAATAAATACCAATCCGGGGATCGGATCAGTTACACTTTGGATGATACCAAAGTGTGAGGCAGAAGGCCTGCAGCCTTTGGGTGTCGGATTGGGATTGAAATGCAATACCAATCCGAATCGGATACCACGGGATCGGATTGCTAGGGTGATCCAATCCCTTGTTTTTTGATACCTGGTATCGAAAAATATACATCCGCCAATACCCTATCCGATCGGATTGGTTTCACCGTTGCTAATAACCAAAAATGAGATGATGAGGGGAAATTCTAACTGAGAAAGTCTGAAAAAGAGCAAGTTGGCTGAGAATAAATAGATGTATATTTTCAGCTCTCAGATCACTATCAATATCAAGGCTTCATTTGATTCAAAGTTATTACTTTTGATCAGCTTTACAAAAACCTTCTGGGATATCAAGAAACTTATATGTGAAAATAACGGTCCAAAGGTCAAAGCTTAAAATCAGATGTTTAAGTGCAGGCCTTCCTGTTGATATCTGTAGACCCAACAGAATCAGAATTATCCCCAATGAAATGAGATTTTGCAAGGTAATCTGATACAATGGACTACAAATATGGTTTTGTAGGGGCTAAGGAGCCAACAGGAAGTCCTCCAGTAGCTTTAGAAATCTGAATAAATTTATTTACTTATTTCTTTGCAAAAGATGAATAAACCCAGTGCAAATACTGGCATGTTTTCTGGGATGATATTTTCTACCCATGAACTATTTTCATATATCTGATCAGCAGTGTCTCATCAATCTTTCTGCTGTGGTGATCTGTACCTGTGTAAACACCAACAAGAATGTTGCATAAGCTTGTTTGGACACTAAATGCACAACAGGTGGTATTCAGTAGGATTGTTTGTTGACTACAACCAAATACATGACATCAGAGGAACACAGCTGACTATCAAGGAGGTCTCCAAGGAAAGATTATGACATCATGGATACGGATGCTAGGCTAAACAGGAAATTCTTCTTACACCATGGATACGGTGGCTTGGTTACACAGCAGATACTATGACATCATGGATACGGAGGCTAGGCTACACAGCAAATATTCTTACACCATGGATACGGAGGCTTGGTTACACAGAAGATACTATGACATCATGGATACGGAAGCTTGGCTGCACAGCAAATAACATCACATCATGGATACGGAGGCTTGTTGTCTGGTTACAACCAAGAAGAAGGCTTAATTACCTGGCAACAGATTACACATACCTAACAACATAAAGTGCACCAGCAAAACCAGGGCACTAAGGGAGTCCCCCCTGCAGCAAAAATCCCTCAAAAATTAATATAAAAGGAGGCCCTCTCTCCCCTCATCTCAGACTTTTTCCCCCCATCATCCACACAGTCTCTCAGAGCAGTAGTTGATCCTGAGCTACCAGAAGTGTTCTGGAGTGTCAGTAATTATTAGTAGTGATTAGTAATTAGTAGTTTAGTAGTTATTGGGTAACAGTAGTAGTCATCTGAAAACAAATTTAGTAGAATCATTTAACAACAAACCTCATTATAACATCCCTCATCCCCAAATTAGTATTAGTAATAATCTACGTCATTTATCATTAGTAAGCCCTCAGCAACCAACAACCCTCTTATCATTATTTTCAGCAAACCATTAGTAGTATTAATCATTCAACAACAAACATTAGTTGCAGTAGTCATCAGTAGTCATTTCCACCATCTAAATTATTTTCTATCATTATCCCTTTTCATGTGATCACACCCACTGGTGCTTTTCACACCATCAATCCCAATTATACCCCTTTAACATTTGCTCCACTGGGCTCCTTTATCCAAATTCTTAATCTTGAGCCATCTGCTAGAACATTTTGTATTGATTGATCTAGGTCTGATAGAGACTACTATACTTAGTAACTCTATCTTGAAATCTGCCACACTCTTATAAATATTGATTTTAAGATTCCTTACATATTTGTATAGTACTATAGAGGGGCAGGTCTTTCAAACCACCCTTAAGTTGTGATCTATAGCCTTTCAACCTATTCCACAATTTATTTCCCCCTCACAGAACTACCATTTCAAATATCTTCCATTTGTCCCACAGGAGTCCTACACCGCAGAAAAATATAAAAATCACACATTATTATACTGAATGGATTGCTTTAGACAAAGCTTATAGTTTCTTGTTTACATCTTGTATGCCACATGCCCTGAGCTTTAGTATAAATTCAACTGCATAAAGATTTGATAAGAAAACCTTCACCCACCTGTATCCTGTAGTGTCTGATCAAGCTTTCTGAAAAATCTAAACTATACACTATTAAAACTTATGGTTTGTTTGATATACTCCATGAAAATTTCCTGTTTCAATCTTTGCTGTCATGTGGTGCCCTTGCCTATGAGTATAAGGGGAAGTGCCCTGCATTAAAAGGGTAATCTAATTTTCCTTGATATTGATTGTGATACATATATTTATCTCCGATTTTTTTCAAAACACATTTAATCAGTCTGATCAGGATTCCTGAGGAAACTCAAATTTTTTTCCAGAGACAAGGGGGAAGAGACCTGGTGATTAAAAAACCTCAAGGACAAGCTCAGAGGGAAAAAATGGTCTTAGAGCCCTCAAAGAGGGCTAAGGCTGCTAGCTTGTGTGGTGGAAAAGCACACACGCTACAAAGAGTTGTATCGGGTAGTGACTCCAGGGATCAGGCACAGAAGAAGAGATGGTTTAATTTTCTCACTCAGGAAGCATGGTTCTTTATCTACATACAAGTTATGGCTGAGTTGTGGGACAGAAGAGGAAAATGCATATTCATCTGGAGATGAGGAGAAAAGGGAGTAACAGATGAGAAGAGAGTGACAGGGATGTGACAGGGAGAGAAGAGCAGAGCACAACAACTTCAGAATTCCAACAATTCCATCCAAATTCCACATCTTAGCACTGTGGTTTGCTTATCATCAATGACAGTGGTAGTCAAATAGGTCAAGTGGAAAGGACTTGTGGTCTACTTGGTTGTAAATATATATTTTTCTCTTGACAAAAGAATGTAATGAAAGAACCTAACATTCTTAGTATTGCACTGCTATTTGACTTCTAAATGGTGATAAAAGCAGTTGATTATTCCACCCCTCCAAAAGAAAGAAAAAGATTTCTCTCCACCTGAGCTTGATTAAACCCTTTTGGGTAAGACCCAAATCAAGTGTAATAATTCAGTTACCAGACCATGTTCTTCTGCAAAGCATCATTTGTTTCACATGATTTAATAATTGCTTAGTTGATGAAAGACAGTTGTGAAAAATAATTGGGAAAAAAATAAAGGCAAGCATCTTTACTGGTTTCCTCCAACTACAATTGAAACCTGTGTGGTAATCAGAAGATGATTTTGAATTTCAGAGAAAGTTGAAAAGATTTTATTACAATCAAATGAGCTTCCTGAAGAGATCAAAAGGAGCTCCAGAAACAGCTTAAATTTCTTATAAAGAAAAGGAGATGGAATTAGTCTTGATTTGATAAGCTACTCTAGGGATTAGAGTAAAAATTATAGACTCAAAAAAATTATGTATAGATTCCTCAAAATAACAAAGGATTATGAAAAGCCGGAGAAGATCTTTCATCTGATATCCCTTTATTCAAAGTATGAAACATTCAACAGGGTCATGTTCTCTCAAAGTCACATGCCATGTTGTGTTGCAAAGGAATACAAAGATGAAATGGTCCAGGAACTTAATGAATACAAAAATCAGTATGAAACCATTTCCAATAGTTGAAATGGTGTTCCAACAACAAAGATCAAAGAGTTTTACAACTGTATAATCATAGTCCAATTTAAAAACTATTAAGTGATTTGATGATTACAAGGCTCCCTAATTTCCAACTCTGGATTTTTGTTTTCTTATTTCTTCATGAATCTATTTTGAACACTGGATTAGTACCCTAATTCATCTTTTCAACTCCTTATTCACTAGGTTCTTCAATTCATCTCTTCACATTCCGCTTTCTGCTTTCCCAATTCAACATTCTTGCTGAACTTAAAGGCTTGATTAGCTCCAAATGATTTCAAGACTTTATTTTGCAGCTCTGGGAAACTATGAGTTTGAAGAACTTTCAATCTTATGACACCAAGTTTGATTTGTTGTGGTGGATGATCCTTTCAAGAGTTAACAGATTGTTTTGCCTTACAAAAGGTGGTAGACCCAAAGGATTTGTGCATTTCACAGTTTGAAGTCCTTTCTTCAAGGATTTCTTTGTATTGTTTTTCCAAATGTCTGAATTCTATTTAAACAAACAGCATGTCAAGTCCCTCAAACTGCAGAGTGTTTTTGTAAAAGGTCCAAATCAACAAGCTTGGGCAATGAGGTGATGAACAGACTACAATATTTCACTTTGGATCTCCACAAGAGTCCTTGATATCATCATTGCTAACTAAAAACATGCCCTTTACCACTGGTTTATCCTGTGTGAAAAACAGTATTAACTACTGATCATTGTGGGGTGTAAAAACCAAAGATAAAGTTCAACTCACATCTAATTTCAAGCTATCAGAGCAGCACTTTTGATCCATTGAAGTCTCAAAGAGACTAATATCCCCACAGATAGAACGGTCTAAGTGTACAGGTGAGGGTACTGCTCTTTGCACTTCAAGTTTTCATTTAAAAAATGTTAGGTCAGCAAGAGTTACAACTGTCACTATCGTGACTTGGGTCTATGTTATGATGATTTGAAACCCCAAGTTCAACGAAAGACTCACCGCTAACTTGGCCAAGGGTTTTACGGATATTACCAGAGATGATGCACACGGGCTGATTTTGCTTTGAATCTGGACATGCAAAGGCTGATATGTCGACATGAGCAGTTTGGACATCAAGAATGATTGCCATCAAAGCCGACAGAAACAAAAGTGATTGCATCTTATTTATTTATTTTCGAACAATCAAATAGTATCTAGAAGTAAAGGAATGTTTAATGAAAGGATTGACTTGAAATTTCCCAGGTTCTCAGGTGGGTCTTGAGACGAACGATATAGTAAATGAATGGTGGATGAAATGATTGACTGTTGAAAATTATCCAAGCTTTCGAGTGTATACTGGTGAGATGAATGCTGGAGGTAAACATGCCTGTCCCAGACTTCTTAAATAGGAAGCTACCTGCCTGGAACAATCCAAGACTCGAAAACCAGGAGTTTGAAACTATTGCCTTCGGTCACCATGTTAGCTCCGGCAACCTCGCTTCCGGACTCCAATCTGACTCAAGCAACCTTGTTTCCGGACTTCAATCTAACCTAAGCAACCTAGCCTAACACCCAATATGCAAATCCCTCGGCGAGGAAGCCGTTATCTCAATGTCGGCTGGGAGAGGGAAGCCAAACGGCAAGCCACACAAGAGAAAGTGGGACTTTGGAACTAGCTGTTGGCTGAGCCCTTAGAGACTTATAACCTCATATAAGTCCCAGGTTTGGCATTGCGCCCTGGAGGACGTGGGGCGCGAAGTTCGTTCGAGTTGTTCACTTGAGGAATTTGGCTGAGTATGCTTCGGATCAGCTCCCGAGAATTTCAGTGAAGTTGAAGAAGAATGTGAGGGCAATATTTGTCCTAGGCCGGCAGGATCGGGGGCAAGTTTTGCTGCAAAAGACCCCTGCTCCCCGGGGCTCCCCGTGGGCACATCGGATTTTACTACCCCAGAACGGCAGGAACAGTGGAGGAGACCAACCATAGCAAGAACCAAAACCAACCTCTCAACGCGTAAATAAAGTCGCAAGTGCCCATACGATACGGCTCTAAAATATAGGAAATATGCCAGCATCGAAGAAAAAGAAAGCGGATCCGTGTGATGATTGGGAGGAAGTTCGTTTAAATTGTATTTCATGAACAGAAGCGGTGATTTTGACCATTCTGATCAAAAGGGTTTTTTTATTTATTTATTTGCTCATTAGCTGGTCGACTTGATGAATTCTGATTGTGATTTGTTTTTTTATGATATTCTGTTTTGGGTACCGAAGTAGCAAGACTACGATAGTCCGACCAACGATTCAGGCCCGAGTCCTACCTCTGATCGCCCTTCTCCATCAAACGCGCTGCCATCCAATCATCAGCCTGTCTCCTCTTCATCTAACATTCATTCAGATGCCCCTCCTGATCCAATCGAAATCGAAAACTCTCTTGTGTGGAATAATGCGTCCGTGTTTTCCTCACCCCTTTTCGTTTCCATATTCTCTACTCTCGTCTCAAAACATTTGGATGTTGATATATTTCTACTTTATTTTCATTTTTTAGAAATCGGAACCCTCAGTATGTGATCCTTCCTGCCAATGCAGCACATTCAGCGGTCACAGCCAACCGCCCATTAGTTCAGGAGACGATGTTTGGGAAGGCCAAAGTGACGATTCTGAAGCGACCGAAAGCCGAATCTACGAACAGGTCATCGAACAATTCGAATTCCTCTTCGTCTTCAAACCTGAGTATCAGTTTACGAGAGAAGGCGTATTCGGAAGCCCGGGAGAGGATCTTTGGTTCATCTGCCTCCAGCTCCGATGACCAGTCGCCTTCCAAGCCACCCAACAAGCTCAAACCAACCCCTCCTCGGATCTCACGCGATCCTTCCTCCCAAGCCAATCCCGTCGCAATTCAACGTCAACCCAATGGTCCTGCATCCTCAGATCAGAAAGGCTTCAATTCTCGTCAAAAATCCATTCCCACCTGAGCCATTTCAGTTTATCATTGACTCTTTTTTGCTTAGTTCTTTCAATTGTAGAGTATTAGATACATGCCACCTATATATACTATGAACCCAGACATCCTGCTCAGATCGGTCGTCTGCTGATAATGTCGTCCTGACTGATCCTAAACTCGGACCAATCGTAGATTGTCTTGATTGTAAAGCAATCAAGCCTTTTTCATTGTTTTAACCAATGGGATTGTAAATATACCATGATACATCTATTCAACTTCATAATCCATATAATCAACCTGAGGATATGACTGCCCACTACTGCTTCAAATCACCCTCCCTTTTTTGCAGTTGATGTAGTAGCCCTTAAAAGATCCAGAATCTCCAAGTTGCGAAAGAATGTAGACAAGCTATCAATAATTTATCATTGGAAGCTTACAAGAAACCATCTATGGTAATCAATGTCATGAAATATGGAGGACAAGTTGTATGTATATTTTGAATGAGTCTTCCAGCCATTTGGATTTGTACATAAATATAAAAGAAATCCCGGGAATTTTACATGAAAAGATTTGACATGAGATTACCTATTTTGTGACAACATTTTTTTTTGGTTTGTTTTGTCCTGGGGAAAAAATAACGAGTTATGTATTAAGTGAAAGAATTTTTTTGTTCTATCCAGTAGTTGATCCTTTATCTTAGTATACATAAATTAGCATATTTATGAAGTGACATATGAGAAAGAAAGAAGTGTTGAGTGGAACAAACCTAAGGAAAAGAAAGAAAAAACGATTGGTGTGAATACATACTAAGTGATCTATCAAAATTTACAGACACAGGAAGTCTACACATAACGTTCAAGAAGAATTTGATTCTTCCCAATGATAATCAGAGATTTGATTTTCAAACCAAAACGTGAGTCCGGTCTGAGGGTCGAAATCTCTGACAAGAGAACATTTATCGAAGCTGAGAGGATGATGATGATGATACTCGCTTGGATGAGAAGGGGTCTGCTCGATGGACTCGATCAATTCATTTGTTAAATTGAGATTCAGGCGTTCCGATTGAGCAATCTCCAAGGTCGACATCTTCATGAGCTTGGTCCCATCTAGAGGATCAATCAGATCGGAAGTCGTATCAACATGTCCGTCTTCCTCTTCAGCGCCCTCTTCCCTCGTGTTCCTCAGCCTTCTAAGCAGCCGATGTTCGAACTCATGTACACTGAAGTACGGTGTATGTAGGACTCGTAAGCCAGATTTGAACGTCCTCAGTCTGATTTCTGGGACCGTATATTCTGGTAAATGGTGACAAGCTGAAATCATGTCTGCCGGTGACACAAGTGCTACATAAAGTATTTGCCAAATACAACTTCAGTAACAGTGTGTACTTCATAGGAGTGAAAGGAGAAGGAATGCTAACATATTCCACGTGCTCGATTCCAAATGCACCAAATCTCATCAAGGGGTCGGATCCCGACTGCAAGATCATGAAAACCATGAAACATGATTGCAGATTGACCAGCCATCGTACGAGTCAACAGACCGGCGAGTTCTTTAGCGAGTTCCTTGGCATACGCTTGGTCGTTACTGATCATATCTGGAGTCACAGCTGGAGTGGGCAGTCCAAGTTTGACGAGTGAGGAGCGTATCAGGCCGGCTTTCTGGTCTGGCGTTTCTGTCTCTTCGCCTGTTTTGGGCACCGATTCTAGACTCGTCAGTTTGGCGTTGATAGATTGTGATAATTGAACCTGGATGTGATGAAAGAATTAAAATTAAAATTATCAGGAAACTGATCGAACCCCTCCTGGAGATCAAAAAAAAAGGAACACCACTACTTACCATCTCTTTTGCCTTAGCCATCAAAGCTTGAAGATCTTGGAGACCTTCGGTTAATTCGGTCTGATGGGCTTGTTGTTGAGAATCCATAGTTTTCAGAATCCGATCAATCCCTATCGGTTTGGAAACGTAGGAAGGATTTTCATGTTGACCCTGCGTAGAGCCTTCTTGTTCCAATCTAGCTGACGGCTTAGCAGATTCGAAATCACTCTTCAAACCATTGGTGTTCCAAGATTTACTTTGCAGAGCTTTTTTTAAACTGAAGTAGAACGTCTTATCTCCCCCCTTCCTGAACGATAGACGGATGTACGAGTCCGCCGGGAACGAGGACGGTGGAGCAGGGGTGGTGGCACGAGAGTGTTGTAAATCACTGTCTGCTAAGGTTGATTCAGATGAATTGTTGAGGGACAAACGATCGAGTTGAACGGTGCCCAAGATCGAATCACACATTTCACAGCGCGCCATCGAAGGGTGATTAAGGAAGGTGCAAGAAGGACATGGGATCTCCTTATTTTTGACTTGCTGTATCCGCTCTAGCTCATGAGATGGACTCGATAAGGTTTCGATCGGTTCGGCTTGGGTTGAAATTCCTCTGAGGTTGGATAAACTTCTGGTATGAGACGGAGTATGTTGGAAAGAAGTTGATAGGGAAGATAAGTCTCTCAGAGAAGAAGGTGGTCTAGAGTTTGACGCAGACTTTGTGGTTGAGGATAAATCCCTTGGGATACCGCATAGACCGCATTTGAGCTCGGGTGGATTTGAGAATCCACAGACGTGACAGGTCCAGTGGGAGGCGGCAGGATGGTTGATGATATCGTTCTGATCTGATGTCAACTTGCGCTGATCGTCTGCTGAGGGAGAATCCTGAGAGGTTTGATTGAAACTCGAGCGACGAGTACCCAAGAGTAAGGTGATCTTTGGTGAGCTCTTCAAGAAGCCGATCCAATACTCCGTCTGTCTGATCAGACTGATATCGAGGAAACACGAATGGCGATGTGGATTCGTCCGATCGACGTAGATCAATCTATGAGAAGTTAGATACAGCGTCCCATCTTGATACCGATCGTCCTTGTTTTTTCTATACATATATCACATGGAAGAAAAACGAGTGTCAGCTCAGTGGAATTTGGTTATGCTTTCTTTGGGGGTCAAAAGCCTCCACAAGAGGAAGGAAGGAAGGATGATGAAATAAGATATAAGAGTGATGACGGTTCATTAATTACCCATTATTTACCCATCATAGATTCCGATTCCCACTTGAGATTCAATGATAGTTTCATTGAAGAACAGTTGAGCATTAATCGTCAGGTTTGTCGTATCGATTGGTCTCAAGCGGTTCATGGTTTGATGGGCTTGGTGGGTTTGGTTGGTTGCTTGGTTTTGTATGTGTTGGTGGTTGAATTTGAATTTTGGATTGGCATGATGCGGAACAGCGGAAAGGGCAAAGGTTATGTTGCGACGAAGACGGGGTCACCGTGGGTACCCGTCCCCGTCACAATCTACGTAATTTTCCCGATCGCAACACTCCACTCCAATCATCTGAAGGATCTTGTCCTGACCTCCTTTGAGAAGAAAAACTCAAATTGAAGGTGAGCTTTGCAATGCTTCCAAACATAAAATAAGAAATTTCTCAAAACTATCATGTGATTTTTGATCAGGTAAAAATGTAATGAGGAGGCTCCATGTTTTAAGCACAACAGATAATTGGTACTTTGGTTTACAAAAATTGCATATGTGCTTTTTGATCTGTCAAGAATGGAAGGTATTTATTTCAGTCTGGAAAAATGTGATGAAAGAATGATGGCCCATTAAGCTTCAAGTCAGATTTATTCAGCTGAAAAAAAAAAAAAAAAAAAAAAAAAAAAATTAACAAGAAAAAACATAGACTGATGGTAAGTTAATACATAATTAGATGCTAGAGACAAATGAATTCAAGAAATTATCAGAGGTATCAGACTGTTGAATTATTTCTTTCAATTGAAGTTTGAACTTTGCATGATCTTCATCAAAGTCAACTCTGATTCTTTCTAAGGAATCAATGAGTGAATAAATTTTCATTCCCAATTGAGGAGAGGAGAAAGCTTCCTGATTCTTGAGGATTATGAGCTGGAAGTACTTTGAAATCATCAAGAATGCTTTGCAGAATCTTTTAATCTGGCTTTCTTTTTGCGTGTCCAACTTTTTGATAACAGAATCAGGGGGTATTGAATCCTCAAATTCACCATTTAGATCACGCAAATACTTCAGGATAATACTCAAATCATCACAGAGCTGGAATCTGGATGACATCAGCTTGATTTTCTCTTTCAGAAGTGGACCTTTTTGAAGCCCCAGAGTGTTAGCAGGATAATTATCTTCAATAAACTCAAGAACATGATATGATTCTTTCCTTTTGATCGATTTCAAGTGCGAACTTCCATCGTCTTGGAAGGAATCAATAAAACCTTGTACCTTTTTCTTGATTTCACTCAAATTCATTGGTTCACTCCAGATGAAACCTTTTGATTCTTCTTCTTCTGGTATCAATCCACTTCCATGATACCTTTCTAGGATAAAAAAAAGCTGATCATTTTCAAATATCTTTCCGTACAATTGACTGAATTGATCATTGAAACATCTGTGTCTCAAAAACGCCTTGAGACATAAATACTTGGAGTATCTCAGCTGCTTTCCCTCAAGAACTTAATTTCCCCAAGGAATTTAGTTTGGACAGACAAGAGTTTGTTCCAAAGGAGATATAAAATCAAATTTTAGTAACATGTGAAAAGACTTCTATCAAATAATTATTTGAGATCTTACCTTCAAACAAGCTCATATAATGTGAAAAGTCATAAGTTGGGATAGTTTTGATAGTGGGATGTGTGCTTATGTAGCTCATGGGAATCCAATCAGCAAGATAATTGAGGATCATGCTTAATGCAGTAATTTCCAGTGTACTATTTGTTTCATAGAAGGATTTCATAGCATTCTTGGTGATCATATTATGCCTGTACATGTAACTGACTGTTTGGATTATATTGTTCTGTAGAATGATAGAAATTGCATGATTTGGACATATCTTGTTTCCTACTTTGAATGAACCAACTTGGTGTAACAGCTCATTCAACTTAACAGCTTGAATCTCCAAAACCTTCTTCCTTATTGAGTCGACCATATCTTGACCCAATCCTGCTCCTGGGAAACTATATTCTCTGGGGGCTTCATCACCAGACCTGGGATCTTTCTTGAATTTTGATTCAGGTGGTTCTGAATCATGGCTTTCTGCAGATTTCAGTGGCAGAAATTCTTGATATTTCCTGAAAATTTGAATAGATTTGGGCCATCCCCAAAGCCAATATCTACTCATTGTCAACATTTGGAAATTTTCCTGCTTTCCTGCATGTTTGGAATCATTGGTTTGGGGCTTTACATCATCCATTTCTATGGTTACTTTATCTGATTTCTTGTCTTTTGATTTGTATAATCTATACTGAATCTCATCCAAAATAAGCTCATGGAATGAATCCAGTGTCTCAATTTTTTCATGTAATTCTCTATTCTCTTTGATTTTCATTTGATCAGATGGTATTTTTGCATTGAATAAATCTTTTGTTTTGGCCAAGCTTCTTTTCATGGAAATGAAATCATCTCGGAATGACTTTGCTTGACCTTCAGAATCCAATTGATTTAAAATCGCCGTTTCAAACATCAACATTGGCATGAAAGATCATAAGAGTTAGTGATTAGGATCAAAAGTGCATTAAGATTTTGCTGTTTTGGCTTACTTATATCTGGGAAAAGAATGTCTTGCTTATAAAGAGGGTTGACAGTTTCTAGGTATTTCTTCAGTTCTGCTTCTGTTACCTCTGGCAATATCACTGAAGCTCCTGTGTCTGAATTTTTAGCCTCTGAGATCACCATGTTGGATGAAGAAATGGAATTAAGTGTCTTCCTGATTGCTTTACCACTTTTTTCTGGTTTGTATGTAAATAATACCAGGGATGGAAATCAGGATCATTTGCCACATCAAAATGAAGGAAAAGCCAGATGGATTGTAGCAAATCACCAAGAGCATCCATGCATTCACTCATTTGCAAGAAACAAGATATCACAAACAGTACCATGTGGCAGCTGTATCCCAAGTAAAGGTTCATTATTGGAGTTATTCTACCAAACTTGCTGCAGAAATGTTGGATCAGGATCTTTTAATTTTGTGAGCATCAAGCAGTTGACAACAAGTGATATGTGTTTGATCTACTAATATCTGATCCAAACAGTACGGATCCATTTTCATAAGCTGAATCCAATTTAAGTGGCTCCTCATGATCAGTGTTGGCAGAAAATTAATGCACACAAAGTTTGCTGGGGACACACATCAGGTGACATGCACAGAACCTACTGAATTAAATCAATTCAGTAGCTTGATGTGGCCTGATGTTTCTTCCCTTACAGTGTTTCTGTCGTTGAAGGATAGGTAAACCTTGACCTCCATTAAGCTTGTGTTTGAGTGTATTGCAAAATTAAATCATTAAATTTAGAATAGTGTAGAAGATAATGTGTATGCAAAGGCATGATGCAGGTCTCCAGATAATTGTGGAAATTGAGCTGAATGGAGACAACCAAAAGGTTGAGGCCCCGTTTGGCCGCAAATCATTATTTGTGATTTGGCTAAGTTTGGCTTGGATTTGGACCGTGCGATATGAAACAATATAAGGTTTTTGCCCAAACTCCTGCCAAACCTCAACTCAAAATTACAAATCATGGACAGCCAAACGGGGCCTGAGTTTTCTAAACTGTTTCAGAAGTGTGTGTAAATTTGGCTGCCAATGCTGTTTCATTAATGTGGAGCTTTCCCATATACGTGTGTTTCAAGAGACTTTCAGTTCACTGCAACTTGACCAAAAACGATTCCTGACTGTTAATGACCAATCCCCCCTCCGACGGCTATGCTAATAGCCGGGTTCATCAGAGCTTCTCGCAAGAAGCAATCCCTTCTTGCACAAGAAACCGCAGCACTGCTGCAGGCTTAAAATTTAGCGCAGAACTTTAAAATTTTTGCTGAGAAAATTAATGTCAGCATTAATGCGCGAGCAAGGAAAAAAAAATACAACGGGTGCGAGAAGCAAAAAAATGCTATTGTGAGCCCCGCTAATGGATTTGTTATGAATATCCACACCAAGAGCCAAGTGGAAAGATATTTCCCTGTGGATCTGGGCTTACTAGAGTAACTCTTTCTTGCAAGATTGGTTGTTTCATGGGGCGCACAACTCTCAAAACCTCATGGAGTATTGTTATTGATACCAGAGGAGACATGTGCAGTCTTCCCTCTCCGAAAGCCTTCTTGTAGAGGTAATTACAGAGGAACGAGCTGGTGGAGATGGGATGTCCGGTTGCCTTGCTGTTGAGTGGATTCCTCTTACATTGTGCCTGAGACTTGAGATTTTTATGTGTATGTATATTCAGTCAAGAATCTTATTTTTTTTATGCATGTATCTACGGAGAAACAATCATGAAAATTAAACATCACTTCAATGATTGTGATTATGATGACTCATGATCAATTATGATGAGTATCTACAATTCAAATCTCACAGACATCGTGTTCAACATTGAATGATTTTTTTTTAAGATGAGAGACTATTATTGATGAACTACGAGGAAGACGGCCTGACCATCAAAACCAAAAACCAGAAAACCAAAAACCAAAAACAGAGTGGTCGCCAAATGCTGATGAATGACAAATGAGGATTGCTGAAATGCCGAGGATGAGCGGAAGAAAGACACAGTCAAAGAAGCAACGCTTGATCAAAACCGCCAAGAACACAAAACAAAACAAACAAAGAGCGGATGAGGTATTGCAGAGCGATCGAAACCTGACACCATTGCTGCTGCCTCTTTCTGCCTTGAATAAACTTCAGATGATCGATATATATATATTGTTTGAACTTGTGTGTGTGTGTGTTGAAATATATATATATTACATTTGTTGGGCAGAGTGAGTGGCCAGTTGGGATTGGATTTGGGTGGTCGAACAAACACTGGAATTGATGATGATTTGTTGATCTATATTTGATGGAATACTTATATAAAAAGAAATGTATAAACTAATTAGTCTCTAATAATAATAATAATAATGATGATTTTGTAGTGTTGTCTATTATAAGGAAGTTTTTTTTTTTAAAAAAAAAAGAAACAACGAAGTCAAGATTCGATGAGTTGATTTGGATTAAGATGATCAAAATGAAGAGGGTCTTGTTGTTGCTGTTGCTGGTGCTGGTGATTGAGATTAAGATTCTGTTGAGGAAGCTGCGAGGGAAGCTGATGGTGATGGAAGGAGTGAAGATCGAAGGGGATGGACGGCGAGGCGGCGGAGGCAAGGTTACAATTAGGTTCGATGATCAAGCCGAGATTAAGCGGCGGGGGCTGTTGTTGATCGTTGATGGGCGAGAATTGGGCGTTGTATTGGCGGTCGATCTCGTGGATGTTCCCGGTCCATTTACACTCCCAGATCGGCAGCTCTGGATCCTCCAGCTTCTCCTCTCCTTGATATCGATTTTCCTTTTCTTCTTCAGTTGCTGTTGAGTGATCTGCCTGGTTCTTTTTGAGCCGATTGTCCATCAGTGGGATCCCTTGGGCCCTCGCTATCGACTTCAATCGCTTTAGTTTCTCGAGAAACTGTCGCCGTTCTAGTTCTAACTCCCGTAAATATTCTACGGCTTATGACAATCCAATCCGGTTGGATCAGCCTTCTCCTTGAAAGTTAGTCAAGGGAGAGAGAGAGAGAGAGAAGGGGGAAAGACATACTTTTGGCAAGGACGACGGCTTCGGATCTCGCGCCTGACCGAGAGACTTCCAAGGGTTTAGAATTCCGTTTGCGTTTGAAGGTGCCCGAATTGGATGAGTCTTCGGCGGGATGGGGGTCGTCCTCGGCCGGCGAGTCCTCCTCCGATCGTCTGGAAACGACCGACTGTTCGTGACTGCCCTGTCCTTCGCCCGTTTCTCCAAACGTGCTCGTCCCAGCCATCCCACCCGCTCCGATCGGCGCCCTTAAGGCGGGTACGATCAAACATAATCGACTGTATCCTTGTCGGATCGCCGCTCTTCTCTATGGGGGAATAAAAAAATAAATACACGGTCAGTATTTTTTTTTTGACACAGATTGGAATGAGTGACTGACTTTCTGTTCACTAGCAATATGGTTTGCTCGCTTTTGCTCTTGACTGAGCAGTCCAGGCTTGTCCTTCTTGAGGATCGCGGCAGGGATGGCAGAGACGAGTGAGGGTTTCGATTTCGGCTTGGATGTTTTCTGAGTGTGTTGTGTGTATAAGTTTGTTGGTTGGATTGTGATTGATTGGTGGTGGGTGTTGGTTGGGGATGGTGGGCTGAGTTTGTTGGAGGCAGACTGAGTGGCGGAGAGTGAGAGTGATCGTTTTGTGAACTTGTTTATATGGTTAGTTGGGCTTGTTGGAGTGAGTTGGTTGGGTTGTAGGTTGATGAGATGCTGATGTGTTGTTGTTGTTGTTGTTGTTGTTGTTGAGTCTAGTGAGTGGTGGTGTCGATGTCTGGCTTGGTGAATCCAGTTGTTGGTTTGTTGTTGTTGTTGTTGTTGTTGGTGGTGGTTGAGTGAGTTGAAGTTCATGGTTGAGGTTGAGTGTGAGTTGGTTGTGTTTGTTCTCTGGAGTGGTTTATATGAATTTGATGATCGCCAGCCCCCACCCAACTACTAGCTCATACTGGGAAACTCCGCTCGATTTCAACTCAACTTCAACACTCGACCAAGAAATACTCTCCGTTCTACTATCCATCTCCGCCAAACAGAAACTCATTCATGAACCCACCCCCTAGTCCTCATCCTGCTGATTCCTTCAACAGGAAGACATACTTACCTTCCTCAACATATCCCGGGAATAAATTCATCATTATTCATCAGTATGAGAAAATCATTCATATAAAAAAAAGAGCTTATCCAATCCTCAAGTTGTTTCTTTTTTCTTCTTCTGCTGGGGTTTAAGAATCGTTGTAACTTTAATCTTCAGCTACATAAAATCGGAGAAGATGCCGTCATAGTCAGAGAACCCTCCCAAGCCATCCTCAAGGGGGGTTAATGACTAAATCAAAAATGAATATTCAATATCCAGAAAGCCAACAAAAAAAACAAAAAACAAAAAAAAACTTAAAAAAGAGTAAGATAAACGGAGAAGCTCATTGGTCATCATCAACCTCAACAACTATCAAAACTGAAAGGAGAAGAAGAACAACAACAAGATGTTAACGAACCGAGTAATCAAACTAGCATCCACCCCTCATTCAAAACCAAAACCACAACACCAGCGACTCTTCCATCTCTCACCCTCCCCATCAACAATGTCCTCAATCAATAAATACTCCAGAACTATCACTCAGCCTAAGGATCAAGGCGCCAGTCAGGTTAGTCCCCCCAACATTTGGAGAGCGTTTTTCTTTTTTTTTTTTGTAATTTATCTCAAATTTCCAAAACTATAATTTGGGAAGGGGTACAGTCAGAGGAAAATGAAACTGATCCGAGATGCTTTTATTTAGGCCATGTTGTATGCGACAGAAGGAGTGGATTCAGAAGCTGATTTACAGAAAGCAATGGTTGGAGTAGCGAGTGTATGGTCAGTTATCATTCAAAAAACTCATGACTAGAAAACATTGAGCGAGCTGCGTAAAATTCGAATAAGAAATTCACGAGAGATGGCTAGTGGGAACCTGGGCACGTTCCCAACAAACGGATTTATATAGGTACGAAGGAAATCCATGTAACGGACATCTCTTAGGCCTAGGCCAACGGATCAAAAAGTCGTTAGTCAAGGCGGATCTGATCGGATACCAGTTCGGGACCGTGGGCGTCAGTGATGGGATCAGCATGGGCACGGCCGGGATGAGCTACAGTCTGCCGAGTCGCGATCTGATTGCCGATAGTGTCGAGTCGGCCGCCGGTGGCCATTGGCTAGATGGCATGGTCGTCGTCCCTGGTTGTGATAAGTTGAGGAGGACTCCCCTCGTATCCTATCAGATCATTTCTCACTCACCCGTTATAATAACTTCCTATATATCCAACTTAGAAATATGCCGGGCACTCTGATGGCACTTGGAAGACTCAATCGACCGGGTTTGATGGTCTATGGTGGGACCATCAAGCCTGGTCATTGTGCGTCCGTCGGCCAATTGGACATCGTTAGCGCCTTCCAATCCTACGGACAATATGTGGCGGAGGGCCAGACTCCTGAAGCGGAATCCCGACGGCTGGATACCATTCGGAACGCGTGTCCGGGTGCAGGCGCCTGTGGTGGGATGTATACCGCCAAGTAAGTCAGATTTATTGCTCTCTTTTTAAAAAAAAACCCTTTCCCGGAAATTCGATCGTTCTAAGTAACTGGTGCTCCTCCCTCCCTTCTTGATCATAAAGCACAATGGCGTCGGCGGCGGAGGCTTTGGGAATGACCCTGCCTGGATCGTCTAGCTTCCCCGCCGAATATCCAGAGAAGTTGGCCGAATGCGATGCGGTTGGCGCGGCGATGCGAAATCTGTTGGAGAAAGATATCAAGCCTCGAGATATCATGACTCGAATCGCATTCGAAAATGCTATGGTAAATCCAACTTTCCTCCTTCTGATGATTAAATGTTGTTTTTGGAGGATTGAAGATTTACTTGGTTCTAGGTGCTCACCATGGTCTTAGGCGGCTCAACCAATGCCGTGTTGCATCTCATCGCTATCGCTCATTCCGTTGGCATCAAATTAACCATCGACGACTTTCAAGCCGTCTCCGATCGTACTCCATTCTTGGCAGATCTGAAACCTTCAGGAAAATACGTGATGGAAGATGTTTATAAAGTGGGGGGGATTCCAGGTGCGATGTTTTTGACCTCAAATTCCCCATGAATTTTTGTTTACTTACTTAATCCAATTATAATCCTTTCTTTTTTTCATAGCTGTATTGAAATATTTATTGGAACAAAAGATGATCGATGGAAGTCAACTAACAGTGACAGGAAAAACGCTGGAAGAGAACCTATCGACTGTGAAAGGATTAGTTCCAGGCCAAGAAGTGATCCATCCGGTTTCATCTCCGATCAAGCCCACCGGACACATCCGGATCCTGAAAGGTAATCTGGCGCCTGGGGGTGCAGTAGCCAAGATCACCGGGAAGGAAGGTCTCCACTTTCAAGGGAAGGCTCGCGTCTTCGAAACCGAAGCCGGCTTGATCGAAGCTATCGAATCCGGCACTCTCGTCAAAGGCCAAAAAACTGTCGTGGTGCTTCGTGGTATGGGGCCTGTCGGGGGACCCGGTATGCCCGAAATGCTCAAACGTTAGCTCCTTCTTTTCTGCTTTGCTATTCAAGTCTTGAGTACCTGGAAAACCTTCTCACCTCTACTTTTCTCTTTTTTAGCAACGAGTATGATTATGGGAGCCGGACTTGGAAACGACGTAGCCTGTTTGACTGATGGGAGATTTAGTGGAGGGTAAGGTCCAACCTGACCATTTAGACGATGATCAAGATCCTACGGACTGATCACTTCTTGGGATGATTTTCAGGACTCATGGATTCTGCATTGGTCACGTGGTACCAGAGGCTGCCAAAGGAGGTCCCATTGGGCTCTTGAAAGACGGCGATGTAAGCGATTCCCCGACACACCCAAGTATTCAACCACGATGTAGCTGACAAGAATGTTTTGGGATGTATGTTCTAGGTGATCACGATCGATGCTGAGGCCAATACGCTCGAGGTTGCGCTTACGGAAGAAGAGCTCAAGGCGCGGAGGATCGGATGGAAAGCTCCGCCGGTCAAAGTGAGCAGTGGGACCCTGTACAAGTACCAACGGTTGGTCTCCGATGCCTCGCATGGCGCAGTGACCGATTTGATCGATATCGAGGACCTTTCTGCGTGTGGTAAAAGCTCTTGAATCGGAGTCGAGGAGCTTTGAACATTGTACAATCATCTCTTTCTTGGATTTTTATATTGGTTCCTTCTTCTGCTCCTACATATGGGAGGGGAGCAAATCGTTCTCCTGCTCTTTTTTTTTGCGGTTTCTTTCTTTTCGACTTGCCTTTTTTGTCACATCAATAACAACACCCCCTCCTGGATGATAATCTCTCCTTGCAACTGCTTTTCCTTTTTTTTTTTTTGCAGCAGTATTTGTCCAATACTTAGATTTAATACAGTTCATACCCATCCTTCAATTTTTTTTTTTTGTTTTCCGGGAGAGACTTGCACAGACTGCTTTTCTCAGCCCAAATCCCCCCCCATGAAGTTCTAACCCATCCGGTATAATGTGACAAGCTGGCTAGATATCTTGCTTTTTTTGTTAGTAACTTAGTGGTGGTGCATGGGGTTCATAATTCGATCCTTGAAGGAGAGTGTATGGTCTGGACAATGGACCAGGGGACCCCACATCTGATCTAGCTATGATACCTCAGAGTCACGAGCTTCCCTACAGAAAGTAGGAAAAGAGACTGATCGATCATATGACTCATCCGGTTTAAGACGAAGCATACATATAACTTATTTTGCTAAGGAATGCTGGAGAGCTACGACGTCAAGGACAGGTTAACAAAACCAGTTGACGGCCTCATATGAGTCTCACACAACTGGCAAAGGAAGGCGTATTGATCATGACAGTCGCTCCGCTGCTCAATGGATCCATTAACAAGCAGAGGTGAGTTCAAGATACTTGAGTGCATAAAGGCTGGGAGTATGTTGGGGAGACAAAAAGAACGCCCACCAACCCGGGTTGACTTTTGCGAGTCGTCATTTAAATTCCCATACATTATAGGCTATAGATCCACCTGCAATTTAGTCTACATATGTAGCAAGGACTTTGTGCGTATTGTTGGGTCTATGAAATCGGCCAGGTTGAGCATTTGGCGTCCAGGACTATGACTGCTAACGTGTGACTGAGAAAATGCAATCGGATGATCATCGTCTAGGACAGGGGCCAGTTCTTCCTCTACTCTGGTCCCTATCATAGTGGGCAACTTGACATTGGGGCACTCGCAGTCAGGCTGACCCTGCACACATGCTCTAGCCATCATATCGGCCTTCTTGAACACTGGCGAGGCACAGCGGGTTTGTTCAAACAAAAGCCGTGTGGATTCTTTCGACTTCGATCATCTAATTACAAGCTCTTGCTTGAGATCTGCGAGGCTTCCCATTCGCGGTGAATGTCAATGCGAGTACGATTTGCCCAGCCGGCTCCACACAATTTCATGCCGAGCTTCAGCAGCTTTGAGGTCGCCAGCTAGGTACATGAGCACTGTCAAGTAACTTATCTTACAAAGTAACTTATCTCACAAGTCCAAAAATTGTATGTTTGGAGAGACCGGCTTTCGTAGCTCGGGTCGGGGTGTTGTCATTGAGATGATTCTTTAAGTAAAGAGTCACGCGACAAAAGAGTGATTGGTATATTAACCAGCTCTGAAAGGTAGCATATGAATTCCATCATTTATCCCACATCGTAAAAGGAGCAAAGATTTTACACATGGTGAAAGAATGCATGGACAATGCGATGACTGACTACCTTTTACCAGAAGACTTAGCGACCAAGCGTTTCTTGGTACCTTTAGGTATCTTCTGTTTCCGTTTATCGCGCTGTTGTTCTTTGACCAACAGTTTACGTTCTTTTTTAGCCTCCTTAGGTTCGAAGCGATGGCCGCGAGGTTTGGAATCAAAAAGGGAAGGGTCCTGCTCGTCGGAGTCTCGATCCGATTGGTCGGCTCCCGACTCAGAATCCGAAGATCCATCGCCATCACTCGTCTCGTCTCTGGGATGATCGGTCTTGAGTGGATGGCTCTCTTTGGGTTGGATCTTCTGTTGAGACGACGGGGCGAGTCCAGTGAGACTCGCATAAATCAGTTGCTTGCCCTCCCCCTTCCTCAATTTCTCGACATCCCGTTCGGCATCGTAAACTTCGTTGAGCGTTCGAGGAATGTAGGCATGTCGAAAGACGGCCTCGTCGTTGCTATTAGCTTGCTCTTGATCTAGATTCGAGGTGGCTTCAATGGCTTCATGGGTGCCATCTGCTGTTTCATCTGCAGTTCTCACTGAGTGGACATTCTGTGGCTCGGGTGCAGAGATCAGCTGTTGGACAAGCTCGATTAACTCGTCTTCGGTTTGGACCGAAATGGACTTGTCGGTGACAAACTCGAAGGTACGTTTGAGGCCCAAGGTGGGCACACCCAGCCGGGCGAAGAACAGGTCGACATTGGTAAGATCAGATCGAAGGAAATCGTAAGCAGAGGGGTGATCATGTTCGACAGATTGGGAAACATCGATAATGAATAGGTGGTTGCAATGGTACCTTTGAAGAAAGATGAAGTTCAGCAATGATAATCGTTCAGTCATGAAATGGCCTTCTGGAGGAAGCGCAAAGAGGAAGGAAGACATACAGAATATTATATTCACTCAAATCGGCATGGACGAGTTTGCACTGATGGTACATTATTCTAACCATGGCCAGCAATTCCCAATAAAGATGTTCTAATCCTTCTCCTAAGCCAGGTAGTGCGGCATCCTTGAGCCGTGGGCTTGGCTTCCATCCACCATCGTCTTCCAGCGCCAAAAATTCCATTACTAGGACGTTCGATCGGACTTCCACCACTCGAGGACAGCGGATCTTTTTCTCGTAGAGACGTTTCAAGTTCCGCATCTCTTTCTCGGCCCATAGTTTGACCATCTTTCGAGGATTTCGTTTTGCGTATCCCGACCTGAATCTGAATTCGCCGGTTACGTATCGATCTCGATCTTTGAAAACTAAGATAGAAGTCTTGTAGATTTTCATCGCCAGACTGATCCCACTCTCGGATGGTGTTCCCGTAAAGGGATCGACGAGGGCGATAGCATGGTAGACGTTTGCTTCTTTCCCAGTGGAGATACAGCCTTCGATCCGGTCCACCAAGCCACGTCCAAGCATCTTGAAGAGAACGAGACGGGTACGTGGATCGAGGACTTGCTCGTTAGTGGCTCGGTCGGCTCGGTCGGTATGATTGAGTCTCTCAAAGCCACCTTTCCGGGTTGCGGTGGTATTGACGTCCCCGAGACTTAGCTTGTCGGCGAATTTTGATGACAATGATACTAGCTGATCATTCACCTTGTCCTTCCGAATGACGGTAGAGTTTGGGGTGACGGTGGAGGGATCGCAGGCAGTTACAAACCTCTTCTGATTGGTTGCTGGCAATACGGTCGGCGTAGTTGATGTTCGTTGAGAATGTCGATTTTGAGTGGTAACGGTGACCGTTTGTCGAAGACGGTTATACCGCTTGGTGAGATCTGGATAGTCGTTTTTCGCCGACAGGAGCAAGAGGTAAGTTGTTGGGAACGACATGAGGATTCCAAAAAGAATCTCACATTTTTCAAGTCAGGAAATCGCACTTACCTCCAGCGAGTGTTTCCCAGTCTTGGCCGTTTACTACATCTAAATCCTGTTCGATATAGTCGTCCTCTCGATTCTCCTCATCCATGGAAACGTCAGATTCATCTTCAGAGGCATCATGGTCGAGGTCGTAAATGAGACCATTTGCGGTGAGGGTATCAGTGGTCCGGTCTGGGATAGCTTTGAAAGTAGCATTGGATTCTTCTTGTATCGTTATGATCAGGTCCTCGGGGGCATCTTCAAACTGCCCGCTTTCGATGTCCATTTCCTGCGTATTTCCTCAGAATGCGGTTCACCAAGTTGTTGTCTTGGTTGGTTTGAGGCCATTCTTGAAGCTTTGTCTTGGGTATTTTGAATACAGACTTTGTATGCATATCCATCCTCTAATCTAATTGGAGCCAGAACCCTGCTAACTTTTGGTTTTTGGCCTGTGAAGAGGGGGTACATTTTGATAATACTCAGCTGTGTTTGTGCCATTGAAGAGTGTGGATCATACTTGATCTGGGACAGGCCAATTTTTCACCATTGTGTTACTATATGGGATACTTTTTTGGTACTGTGAAAAATCAGGCAAATTAAATTCAAGCTGTTATATATGTAACTCAAGTGTTGATTCATTGTAGATAGAGAAAAAATGTACAACAAATGTGAATCTTTAAGGATGTTTGAGCCTGCCTTTTTTGTTTATGCATTGAAATTCAAAACTGCCATGTAAAAAAGAAGTCCCTTGAGAATAAAAATTTTCAGCAGGTGGTCTAGAAAACATTGAGGAGCCAAGCGACAATTGATGCTGCTAGTTGATTAGTAAATCATCTGTTGAATGAGAGGCACATTTGCAATATTGCTTGTGTCTTCCAACAGTTTTTTTTTCATACAACTGAATCCCTTGAGCTTTATTCAATTTGTCAATTCCTTTTAATGGGGCTCAGATTAACTTGCATCTCTCTCTTCCTTCATGTATCTCAAGACCACTCAGCTTCCTTTTGGTTTTCAATCAATAGGGTTTGAGCAATTTATGAGTTCATAAAGGAATAGAGAAGATTGTTATCATGCTTATAAAAGGACTCCTCAATTTTATCCTGAATGTTTTAAAAATTGTCTTGGTCAATTGATCATACTAATGGAGTAGTTTAATCATGGCACATAACTGAAAATTCTGTATAAGTGTTTTTTAAAAGAAATTCTGTTTCATTAACTTATGTACATTGTTGAGACATTCATGATAATTCTTTCTCAAACCTCTCCTGCTGTTCCAGGAATGTTGTTTCCTTGTTCTCTCCATGCAACAATGGGCCGCTACGCTAACTGCTACTGTAATTTAGCAGAATTCTGCTGACATTTAGCGTAGTGCAGTGGAATTCTGCCACTACTGCACTAATTTCGGAAGCCCACAAAGGACAACAACTGTGCCAATTCAATTTTGTTTTTCCAAATTTCAAAAACAAAACACACTTGTACAAATTTATAAAAAGACTTTGTTCATTATGTCACACAAAAAAAAGACTTTGAGCCTCCGACATCCCCTCACATAACACCTGACTGTGAAAAACCACCCATCCAAGGGTTTTTTTCTTCATACTTTGAGCTGTGAGCAAGTGTCAACACTGATAAACATTTCCTGGACAGCTGCAAGAATTTCCGGAGGAATTTGTGCTTCAGGGTCTGCAGGTTGGAGAGAAAGAGAGAAGAAAGAGTAAGCTCTTCTAAAAAGGTTTTGATTGAACCTAAGATCAATGAATTGGAGAGTAGGCAAGTGAGAGGGAAAGAGTTCATCAAGCTGCTTGAGGGTGACAAGGGGCCCTATTCTGAGTCTGAGGACCCTAAGGGAATCCAATGATTTAGCAATCTGATTGAGCAGATTGACAAGCTCATTATTATCTCTGTATCAATAAGCAAGGGAGGGGATCGATTGCGTGTAATTCTTGATGAGGTGCTGATGTTTTTTGGTATCTGCAGCCTGGATCAGTTGGGCAAGGTCTTCCTGGCTGGTGATCTTCAGATGTTTGTGCTGTTCCTCTGGGTGGTCGGGGTCCAGCACTTGAGGGAGTGCGTGGCTGCCGCAAGAGACTTGGCTGGGAAAGCCTTGTCTATAAAATGAGAGGCTCTCTCCTGCCAAACCTTATTCCCCATAGCTCATCCATCAGTTTCTCAGTTGAAAGGCTGGACTGATTGGTATGGGCTGGTCTCAGGTACATATGTAGTGGGACAAGGTACTGCAACAGTGAATAAACAATTCCCACTTCATTCACTGACACTCAAATTGGGGCTTGAACTGACAACATCCCGAGGGGGAGGGGAGGGTGGACTTACTCTGGTGTGTCAAAATCTGGTTTGCAGTTTGGTGGGTTGTCAGATATGCCTCACCAGCTGATGCGTCATTGAGGGGGGAGGTCATTTGAGCTGCACATATAGGAGTGAAGAGAGGATTGATCAGATAAATATGTAGAACAATAATCAATTGGGTTAAACTCTTTTCACCCTGCTGGGAGGTTGTCTGGTGCAGCCTGATTGACTGCTTTGTGAGTCAAAGTGCGGTTGGAGGGACAAGTGCAGCTGGCAGTGGCACCGGACCAAGGGCAGGGGTTCTGGGGGGGGGAGTAGAAAACTGTTTGTAGTTACCAGGGGTTAGTGGTGGCACATTGAGAGGTGGTGACACAAAGAATAACACTTTGATATCCTTCCTGTATCCATTTGATCAAGGGATGGATACGTGATGGATACAAAGTGGATACAAAGGATTTACAGCAAATTTATATTTGATACCTGAATGGTCCCCCCCCCCCCCCCCCCCAGAACTCAGACCTTATGATCAACTCGGTTTGACCGTTCACAAAAATGATGAAACATAAGGTAAGCTGGTGCCTATTTAGGACCTTCCCCTCATCCAACAACTCAGGTTTAAGGAATTTGATAGATTGATAATGACTAAAGAGATGGTAGACTTTTATTCTCTCTCATTTCAAGATAACCTATTGAGTCTAACGCTCTTGTTGATTTCCCTTGTCTAGAAATCTCCCCGCATGCGCACTGGTGGGGCCACCGATTGCCCAATTGCAAAGGTGGTCTGTACAACATCTGGACTCAGTTAACCTGCACATTTGGCTAACTTTTTTAAATTACCAGGATGGCCAAAGAGTCGGCCAAGAGGAAACATCGGCAGGAAGAGGCGAAGAAGAAACAACAGGAAAAAGAGGCAAACAAATAAGAAAGATAACAACTACATTTTATGAGACTTGGGGCAACTGTTGGCCATCTTTTTCTTGAATTCTGCTTTGAATATTTCCTCCAAACCATCTGATTCAGAGTCGTTCGTGGATTCAGCAGGGCCGCGAGATGTACTCCCTGAGGCAGCCGCAGAGCTGTTCTCCTGTTGTTTCTTCTTTGCCTCTTCCGCCTGTTGTTTCTTCTTTGCCTCTTCTTCCTGTTGTTTCTTCTTTGCCTCTTCCTGCCAATGTTTCCTCTCGGCTGACTCTTTGGCCATCCTGGTAATTTCAAAAAGTTAGCCAAATGTGCAGGTTAACTGAGTCCAGATGTTGTACAGACCACCTTTGCAATTGGGCAATCGGTGGTTTCCCACCAGTGCCCATGCGGGGAGATTTCTAGACATGGGAAATCAACAAGAGCGTTAGACTCAATAGGTTATCTTGACATGAGAGAGTATAAAAGTTCTCCCATCTCTTTAGTCATTATCAATCTCTTCAATTTCCTTAAACCTGAGTTGTGGAGGAAGGAGAGGTTCCTAAATAGGCACCAGCTTACCTTATGTTTCTTCATTTTTTGACCGGTCAACCCGATTTGTTCATATGTCCTGAGGTGTGGGGGGGGGGCATGGGTTCAATTCAGGTATCAAATATAATTTGTCTGTAAATCCTTTGTATCCACTTTGTATCCATCACGTATCCATCCCTTGATCAAATGGATACAGGAAGGATATCAAAGTGTTATTCTTTGTGTCCCCACCTCTCAATGTGCCACCACTAACCCCTGGTAACTACAAACAGTTTTCTACTCCCCCCCCCAGAACCCCTGCCCTTGGTCCGGTGCCACTGCCAGCTGCACTTGTCCCTCCAACCGCACTTTGACTCACAAAGCAGTCAATCAGGCTGCACCAGACAACCTCCCAGCAGGGTGAAAAGAGTTTAACCCAATTGATTATTGTTCTACATATTTATCTGATCAATCCTCTCTTCACTCCTATATGTGCAGCTCAAATGACCTCCCCCCTCAATGACGCATCAGCTGGTGAGGCATATCTGACAACCCACCAAACTGCAAACCAGATTTTGACACACCAAAGTAAGTCCTCCCTCCCCTCCCCCTTGGGAGGTCGTCAGTTCAAGCCCCAATGTGAGTGTCAGTGAATGAAGTGGGAATCGTTTATTTACCATTGCAGTACCTTGTCCCACTACATATGTACCTGAGACCAGCCCATACCAATCAGTCCAGCCTTTCAACTGAGAAACTGATGGATGAACCATGGGGAATAAGGTTTGGCAGGAGAGAGCCTCTCATTTTATAGACGAGGCTTGCCCAGCCAAGTCTCTTGCGGCAGCCATACACTTCCTCAAGCGCTGGACCCCGACCACCCAGTAAACTCTCAAATCAGAAAAGCCAATTGACTTCCCAAGGAACAGCACAAACATCTGACAATCACTAGCCAGGAAGACCTTGCCCAACTGATCTGGGCTGCAGATACCACAAACCATCAGCACCTCATCAAGAATTACATGCAATTAATCTCCTCCCTTGCTTGGAGATACAGAGATAATAATCAGCTTGTCAATCTGCTCAATCAGATTGCTAAATTATTGGATTCCCTTAGGGTCCTCAGACTCAGAATAGGGCCCCTCTTTGCCCTCAAGCAGCTTGATGAACTCCTCCTCTCTCACTTGCCTACTCTCCAATTCATTGATCTTAGGTTCAATCAAACCCTTTTTCGAAGAGCTTACTCTTTCTTCTCTCTTGGGGGTTGATAAGTGCAAGCCAACCCCCCACGCGCACGCCAGCTGCAGATTGGCGTGCGCGCCTGCACGCCATTGCAGAATGGTGTGCAGGCAGGCAAGCCATTTGCCTGCAGGGGTATACCCTGCAGGTTGGCATGCCTGCGTGCACACCCAATATGTGGTCCTAAACGCATATTTATATGCGTTTAGGACCTGGGATGTCCCATAGGACCCAGGCATGGGTCCTATGGGACAGCCCCAGCATTGATGTTTTTTTTTTCAAACCCCCTCGGCCTAGAGAGGCCAAGGTCACACCGCCGGGAGGAACCCCTCCCGGCGAGCCGGTGTACAGTCCAG